TAGGACATCTTCACCAACGCCCGCCCTCAATGGCTCCCCCCAGGCGCGCGCGGCATCTTCGGCGGCGCAGTAATCGCCCAGTCCCTCGCCGCCGCCCAACGCACGGTCCCCACCGACTCCTCCTCGTCCGAGGGCGTCTTCCTCGTGCACTCCTGCCACTGCTACTTCCTCCTGGCAGGCGACGCGGCCATCCCGCTCCTCTTCCACGTCGAGCGGGTCCGCGACGGCCGCTCCTTCGCCACGCGCACCGTCCAGGCCCGGCAGAAGGGCCGGTGCGTCTTCACCGCCACCATCAGCTTCGTGCGCGAGGGCGCCGGCGGGCGGAAGCTCGTGACGCACGCGCCGGCGCTGCCGCCGGGTGTGGTCCCGCCGGGGGCTGGGCAGGGGCAGGACGCCGCGGATGCGGGGGAGCCGGTGTGGGGGGAGTCGGGGCCTTTCGAGACGACGGGGACGGAGGTGGTGTGGCCCGAGGAGGAGGACGGGACGGCGGGGAAGAAGGAGGACCAGGTCCGTTGTCGCAGCTGGGTACGCGCCCGGGGGAAGGTGAGCGAGGCGGGGGGGCTCGCGGCGCATCTTAATGCGCTGGCTTACGTCTCTGACGCGGGGTTCATTGGCACCGTTGCGAGGGTGCATCGGCTGATGCCCCGGTTGAAGGCGACGCGGGATGGGGATGGGGAAGGTAAGGAGGGCCACCCTGTGTTGGGCATGATGGTCAGTTTGGACCACTCCATCTACTTCCACGCGCCGCGGAGGGTGAAGGTGGACGAGTGGATGTTTTCCGAGATGGAGACGCCTTGGGCGGGGGATGGCCGGGGATTGGTGACGAGGCGCATCTTCGCGGCGGATGGGACTTTATTGGCGACTTGTGTTCAGGAGGTGAGTTTTGCGTTGCTTCCCCCCTCCCTTTTTTCTTTCTTCTTTTTTTCATTACTCGATTCTTTATAGGGCCATGATCTCCGTTACTGACACAAACTCAACACCCAATAGGGCGTCGTGAGGCTGCAGCAGGACAAGCAAAGCGGGAATGCCAAGCTGTAGGCTAAGCGTTAGAAGCTACTGTATCAAATGGAGGGGAATGGGCTGCGCATCTGAAGCTAGAGATAGAGGACGGGGGCACTAGAGGTTTTCCATGTAAGGTAGACACCGCTGCAAACCTGCGGGTCGCTCAAAGCTGGCAATGAAGATTACCCATGTCGGATAAAACCCGGCATTCTATCCGGCCTTCGTTATTCGACGAGTAGAAAGATTCATTTCGTAGTTGAACAGTGTAGTAATAAGTGCACTCATCATTCGTGTGCCTACGCATCACAGACTCTCCACGTATGGATGTAAGCGTTACAAAATTTTGCGGAATCGACTCGTACGAGACAAATGACGGGGATCGAGGCTCGAGGTCTGTGACGGCCGGCTCACGGCACTTAACTCGCCTGTAAAGTGGACTCGGCCGAGAGTGCCGGACATCGGGGACATGGATTGGATTCCTCCACTTACGAAATAGAGGAATCTACAGTAGATACGCTGGACCGTCAAGAGCCGTTCTGTTCCGGATCAGGGGATGACCGACGCCAAATCCCACCCCCCGTTCGAAGTCCCAATAGATCCGGTAATTACGGGAATTTTTTTTTTTTTTTGTTGCTTAGAAGGAAAACCACGAGTGCCAGAATTGAAGGGTGGAGACAATGACGACGAGCGGGCCCCTGAAACCCAAAGGTAGTAGGGAAGTATCTTCTGGTATCGTATCGTATTATCGAAACCCGTGCTAGGGAAAAGCCGGCCGGAGACATATCCGTGCGGAGCCGATTCATGTCTTGTGCGGGCCTTTTCTTGTCTATCTTATTTATTCGCTCACCGAGATATCCCCCGAATGACGTATGCGAATGTAGATGAATCCAAGGGGAAAAAAAGAAAAAAAAAGTATGAAACCCGATATGTGCCCGTTGGGTCTCCGAAAGCCCCAACACCGCCGAACTCGGGCCGTTCGTTTTGCCGTACTCCGCAGTCCATGATTTGTTCGACAAAGCTTCTTCGAAACAAGCCATGGCGTTCTCGTCTTTCTCTGAGGGCAGAAATAGTGCGCGGGCCGAGGAGAAAGCTAAAGCATACGGAAACCCCAATTTTTTCTTTTGTTTTTCCTTTTTTTCGATAACCTCGGGGTTGGTTCCTCAAGACATGCTGCAGATCGGCCAGGCCATAGAGAATGTCCCGCGTCGTTCACATGACTGAACCGCGTGCTGCTCGGCACGTTGTGCTTCGTGTGTTTCTTTAGCTGGTCCGAACAACAAAATTCGTGAGCGACGACCGACGACCACATGGCCAGAGCGATGTCGTTGTGTTACTATTAAGTAGGCCCTCATAGGTCCACATGGAACAGGGCTACTCAGCTCGTGACCGGAATTAAGAACCTAGTCGGTAATTACTTTCGTACGATGCCCATGTATAAAGTCGGCGCGAGAGGCTAGCAAGGAGCTTGGCATGTGGTGGATGCACTCCAAATTAACGCGCTGACACGGAAACCGGCAGTAGCTTGACAGCTAGCAGGCTGCCTTTGTAGGGCCGGGACGGGATCTTTACAGTGAGTAACCCCAGGTTGAGACGGTTGGATGAAGATGAAGCGGCGGATGGTGGCCGATGATAGGCAATAAAAAGTATTCGTACGACTGCTATGTAGATTGTGAAGCCTTCGATCGACAATCCGTATATGAATGACAGCTCCGTGGACCCGATGCTGGGGTACCGGTACTGCGTAATGCAGTTCAGCCAATGCTAATGCTGTATCAGGAACGGAATGGAATCCGGTTTAGTCCGCATTACGGGATTATTACCTCAGTTTGTTTTCTTCAGATGTCCAAGAGGAGAATTTCTCATCAGACGTTAGGTATTCTGAGAAACACTGTAAAGTAACTTAGGTACAAAGTGACAAATGAGCTGAGCTCCTGTCATATTACCTAATCACGCCGCAATTATATATGCCTTACTAAGCTGCCTCTGTCTATCGGATGAGGTTCCTTGGCAGGGACTGTTTTCAGCATGGGCGACGAACACGACGAACACTCCAACCTGAATCCTGTGGTCTAATTCCCGAGACCGTGACTATTCCCGGCCAACCGGGTCCCTCACCTTACCCCATCCAGCACAAAACTCTACACGTATGGCTACACGGGCGGGAATGTGGAACATACCGTAACTCGACTTCCTTACTCTACTAGTGGCGATGACGATGCCCTGAGAATCTGGGCTTAGCCTTGCCGACCTTCGTCCGTCCTTCTACGCGCGATAGGTTTCGGTCCCTCCGATTGTCGATTGACCGCGGTTTGGATGCTCAACCCTCCGACAGCGCCCTCCTATCAATCGAGAGGTATCGTATCCCTACGTTAGTTCGGGGGCTACCCGAAATAAAGCACTGTTTCATGTAAGTTGACGTCCTTCTTGTTTTTATTGTGTGGACCAGCTTCGGCAGTTTTACGGATACTACGTTGTATTCGTCCTTCATAAAAGGTACCTAAGGTATATTCTGGACGCCGACCAAGGTAGCCGGCTGCCTTATATTATGGGTCGAACCTCACCGAGCGGCCCCGCTTGATGAAGAAGCGCTAATTCATCTACGTTGTAATTAGTAGGTACTCCATAGACATTTGCGTCTCTTCCCTGGTTTTTGTCAAGTAACATTGGCTTCAAGCTCTTCATCTCACAGCTTCGTTATCGACGGCAAGCAGACATGGTTTGCAAGGTCACGACAGAGAGGTACGGGTAATTATACCTTGCTTGTATCCGTACCTTGAAGGCCCCGCTGCACGCAGGGTTATGAACCGTTTGGTGGGTATTAACTCCGTCCTAAACGCCGTTCTCCGTGATACTGCACCTCGGGACGGAGTACCGTGCACCAACAAGCTCTTGGGGGACAGGCCAAGGCACAGACGTGTTGACACACACACAGCAGACAACATCGCAATGTCTGGCTCGTCGCTCATTGTCGATCATCCTTGTAAAGAAGCTCACCACCCAAAACGGCTTGCGGAAACTCTTCCGAGACACTCGAAGACGGTGTCATTTCCATAGACCGATGACGTTACCTAGTACCTTAGGTAGTGGACCGAATCTTCATGGTCATGGTCTGGCCAAGCTAAACCTCACCCACACGACTTAACCTCGTCTTGTCCAGCAAGTTTTCGAGAAATCAGTCGAAAGAAGAAAAGAACCCGGAAAAAGAGAGAGAAAGACAAAAAGAGACAAAGCTTTGACCGTTAAAATAAGGAATAAACTCGGCCCCCTCTCTTCCACGGAGCTTATAAATCAATCCAACCGGCGGACTGATCGTAATCCCCGAGGTACCTCGAGGTACCCACGCGATTACCGTCCCCTATATGCATCAAGGCCTGGATCGGGACTTGGCTTGAGACCGCGCGGGAGACGTACCGCCGGGCTAAGTAGATCGTACGTAGAGTCTAGTACCTACCGTACCTACCTAAAGGTACCTTACGTTGTACAGTAGTACGCGTACTGCCAACCAATCCACAGTCCCCGATCGCCCCTCGAATTCGGGATCGATCAGAGGACCCTTTATAGGCGACCCATCGTACGTTGTACTCGAAGGTATGCTGAATATGGCAGGACGAACTTGGTGCCTGAGCCGATTCTCACAAGTCTGAGTACGTACTTTAAACATAGTCGTCATCAAATTAAACAATTTGAAGGCACAGATATGTGATGATGCCTTTTGCCTCGGGTGTTCTTAGACATCGGATTCACCTTGCCCATATCATGGCCTTGGCATGCTGTAATAAGATCCATCTCCAGTTGTGGATGAGGTTGGGGTTTGTTTGGTGTCCCCTGGTCAACAAGCAGACGAAAAGGCCCCCCCATTCCCGCAGTCAGGTCAGAGCCGAAACATGTCGGCCTTGGGCGATCTTCTGACCAGGGCTTCGTTTTACAACGATTGAAAATAACGGCATGCGGTCCCCCGTGCTTACAAAGAGAAAAAAAAAACCCCCTCCTTGTTTGTTGTTCCCCTTCGTACCTCAGTTATACTTCGTATAATACCTCGCACATGCCGTCCCAACAACCCTCGAGTCGCCATCTCATCTTTTTACGGATCAATCTCGACTGCATCGACTCGAGCAAAGATCTCGCAAAGTCTTATGCATAGAAATTCATTCGTCTGCAGCCAGGAACTCGGGCTTAGTAACCACTTCACAAGTGGCCCCCACTCTCTCAACGGAACCTTTCAAATTGCGGCCGTCGCAAAGAAGAAGAAACAGAAGAAGGGACTTATAAAAGTGCGGGTTTTCTGCGACCGTTTCTCGGCAAAAGGAACCTTGTAGTGACAAGCGACTACAACCCCAATCGAGCCCGCGTGGTAATTAGCTCGGCACCGAAACGCCGAAACGGGAAAGACGTTTCTTCTTCTTCTTTTTTTTCTTCCTGGGTTTAACAAATCGCTTCGGACATAAAAGAGGGTAACAGGCCGGCCGACCGGTCAACGTTCAACGTTCTGTTGACTAGGTCTGGCTGGAACTCTAAAAGGACATGGGACTTTCGTCATAAAAGTCGGACACGGCCGAATCACTAACATTATTATACCCCCTTATGTCCGCCTCTGGTTTTCTTTTTCTTTCTTTCCCCAGTCCCCTTCTTTGCTTCTGAACCTCTTTCTACTCGTCATTACTACCCATCGGCCGAGTCAGGGCCAAGCCCATACTTAAGTCAGACAGACAGGACTACTTATTTGGCTGACTTCCGGCTGACTTCCGGCTGACTTCCCTTCCCACCATCTCCAAATCCCTGCCCGCCCCTCCTCCAACTGAGCTACCCTGTCGCTTCTTGGCTTCCTTCCATGTAAGGTGTTTTGGCTAGTGCTCTGTTGCTGGGTTGTACCGAGTAATACGTCTTACATGCTGCTCCCGACGAAAGCATCTTCCACTTACACGGCCGCAATTTATCCCGTCTCCCCACAGCCCCTTCTCTCTCTGGTCTTATCGTTGCCGGTATAACATTCCCCGCTTCCCCCCCGGGATTACCATCTTATCATCAACGACATTTGTCTCTTTTACAAAAATCGGAGCTCCGTCTTACATCAATTCGGCCGGGGGGATTTTCTCTTGATGCACCAGTCTCTCCCATACGCATCCGAAACCCCATCGTCTGCTTAACTACAAATTATACGAAATTCAAAGAGATGGACAGTGGTCTGCCCTCTCCTCCGATGGAGGAGCAGAAGTCCCAGGGTTCCAGGAAGAGCTCCTCATCAAACTCAAAGTCCATAAAACCGCACCGGCACACGTCCAAACGAGCCAGCCCACACAGCGCTACGGTTCACCACGACCAAGTCGCTCACGGAGTGTCAGACGGGCGGCATAAAAGGGTATGGAAGGCGTGTGAGAGGTGTAGGATGAAGAAGACCAAGGTTTGTTCTGTCCCTCTTTTTTTTTGGGTTTCTTCTTCTTCTTCTTCTTCTTCTTCTTCTTCTTCTTCTTCTTCTTCTTCTTCTTCTTCTTCTTCTTCTTCTTCTTCTTCTTCTTCGTCTTCGTCTTCTTCTTCTTCTTCGTCTTCTTCTTCTCATATTGACACTGCCGATTCTAGTGCGATGGAGAATTCCCGTGCAAGAGGTGTAAGGACGATGGTCTCGTCTGCACGGCCGGGGTACGCAAGAAGACGGAGTTCAAGCAGCTTCCCAGGGGCTACGCCGAGGTGCTGGAGCATGCGCAGTTTGCGCTGGTGGCAACGGTGCACAAGCTCTACGCCATGGTCAGGAGCCAGCAGGCATGGGACCTGGACGAGCCGGAACTGAACGACAGGGGCCAGCCCGTGGTACACGACATTGCCATGAAGCTCGGTTGCATACGGCCGCAGTTCGACGCCGATCTCCCCGCGCATTCGGTGTTCCCCGAAGACGAGGCGGGCATGACGGCACTAGCACACCAGCTCGAGGAGGAGGAGCAGCAGCAGCAGCAGCAGCAGCAGCAGCAACATCAACAACATCAACAACAGCCACAACACCAACAACACCCTCACCAAAAAGAGAAAGAGCGAGAAACCGAGACGACGGAGTCGCAATCTAGCTGCAACCTTTCGGACAGAGCAAGCTCGACCGACATGGACCACTCCGAGTTCGAGACGGACTATCGCAAGCACGTCTTCTTCGGCGGCGGCGGCAACGACACGGCCGTGACCATGTCGCCGCGGAGCTTTACGGGCGGGTGCAGCGACTTTGACGTCGACTCGGTGTCGTCGCCGTCCCACGTCCCCGCCGGCATGTTCCGCAGCCAAACGTCGTCGGCGGCCGCCATCCCTTCTTCGTACGGTCCGCATTGGACGACAACGGCGGCGGCGGCCAAGCCTATGACTTCTCCGATGAATCTGGCGGCAACGCAGCAATTCTTGCAGCTGCAACAGTCGTCGGATGGTCTGCCCGACCTGGACTACCTGGACTTGGGCCTGATGGCGATGGAGTCCGACGAGTTTGGCACGATCAAGCCGCACATGCTGTCGTGTCCGAACCCGGAGGCCCTGATGGGTATGGGAGACCCCATGATATATTCGGGGTTTGATCCCGAGTCGATACGACTGTAACGGGGGACAAGCCACTTACTTCCCTTCCCCTTCGTCTTATAGCCTTTCTTTCCTTTCCCCTTTGATTTTGCGGGGAACCGCACGATTTTGGATAGGGACAAATGGATGGGCATTACATCAATACATGACATGTCACCGGCTTTACATTTTTTAGGTTGGGATATTTCTTTTGGAAAAGGAGTGGCCTGGTCCTGGATACCCAAACTACAAACTACCCAAACCACACTCGAATACCCATAATCCGTTTCTCCATCGACATGCTCTGTCTTCGTCTTGTCTCATCCATCGCCGACCCGGTTCACCACTGACTGTTCCTGCTGTCCTGCCTGGGTTGAGTACATGATGCGAGTAACAACTGTAGTCGCATCGCGGCGATATGCACCTGGTCATCCATACTCCGCGTCGGGTTCTTGGCAGCAAAATGTCCAATCGGTCCGGCTCCTGGGCTTCGTCAGAACCGACATGAATCAACCGTACACTTACAAACTGCCCCCGGCCACGGGAAGTCGGATCGGATGGGGGCAATGCCCTGTCATGTAACTCAATACCGTACGGAGCGGAGAACAGGCACATCCCGTGTACGTGTAGTGTAATTACTCCGCCGCATCAGGCATGAAGTGAGGTACCTTACGGATAAGACTGACTGCGGAGAAATAAAACGGAGTAAGCACCAGCGCGCGCTTACAACGTACGTGTACAGCTTTCGGAGTCTAAGGTAGAGGGGAGAGGAAGGACGCTTACGGAGCAGGTACTGCGGAGTAGGTAATTAAGGCAAGATACCCAGGCATTCGTACTTTGTGTGCTTCGTACAGCGGTCTCCCTCCAACCCCGTGCTAAAACTGCGTGCTGGGGGTTGCACCGTTGCTCTCCCGCCCCACCCCCACCCAACAAACCCCCTGGAACCTCAGCGATTGGTGGTCATACGCCCTGATTACTCCGTCCGTATGTACTGCGAGTAAGCAAACGTTTCGGTAGATTTTAAGGTAAACTGCTTCGGACTTTCTGTATAAATTCTTGAAATGTCGTGAATTGTCGTGAATTGAGTGAACCCCATAAAGTTTTGGGCGATATTAACAAGTCGTTTCGCAGAAGTGCCCAAGCCACTCGGCCCTTAAATTCGACCGAAATCATTGCTACTCTACAAGGTGCAGGGAAAAGCGCCAAGAGTCCATGGTGTGCGCTGTCATGTCGGAGGCCGTGCCATGCTAACTTCCATATCTACCCTTTCCTTCCCTTTTCTTTCCTCTCCTACACCTTCAACCCTTTCTTCAACGACGCCCGCAGCTCAGCGATCGCCTCGGAATACCCCGACACCATGACGCCAACCGAAGAAGGAGGCTCAGCGTTATACTGCGGCACGACTCTGCTCCCACCACGCGTGACTTCCAGAATCGTGCCCCCCTCGCCCTCCCTGCAGAGAAGGAGCATCGACTCGGCAATCTCCTCGGCGGTGCAGAAATTGCTCGAGTTGGCCGAGACGCCCGGCCCCTTCTCCAGCCAGGCCACCTTCTCGGGATCGTCGAGCCACAGCGGCGTCATGACCGCCCCGGGCGCCACCGCGGCGCACCGGATGCCGAGCGCCCCGTGCAGGTCGCCGAGGCTGCGCACGAACGCCGTCAGCCCGTTCTTGCTCGCGAAGTAGAGCGGCGACCCCAGCCCCGTCGTGTGGCCCGCCACGCTGCTCACGAAGACGATGCACCCGCGGCCGCCGCCCCCCTCCCCCTGCTCCCCCTGCTCCCCCTGCTCCCTCTGCTCCCTCTGCTCCCTCTGGCTCCAGTACCCGATCGCCAGCTGGGCGAGGCGCACCGGGTGGGTCAGGTTCACGTCGAAGACGGCGTACGTCCCCGGCTCGGCGTCGGCCGGTCGCGCGAGGGCGAGTCCGGGTTCGTGGCCGTCTTGGGCGGCTGCCAGAAGTTGCTCCACGCCGGTTCGAATATGCCGGCGGCGGGGCAGAGGATGTCGATGCGCGGGAAGGTCGAGAGCCCGCGGTCCCAGAGGCGGTGGAGCTGTGGCCACGACGCCACGTCCGTCTCCTGGAAGAGGACCGAGGGCCTGTCGTCTTTCGTTGGCGGGTGGGGGTATTGGGTCAGCAGTTCGGCTGCTTCGTCGCGGAGCTTGAGGTCGCCTATGAGGACGGAACACCCCTTTGAGAGTAGGAGTTGGACGAAAGCCAGGCCAATGCCTTGGTGCATGTTCCAACGTTAGCTTGGGCCCGGGGGGGGGGCAGGCCAGCACGTTACATCCCCCAGTGCCGTCTCCCTGCTCTGAAACGTAAAAGGCGAGTACTCACCTGAACCACCTCCCGTTACAACGGCATATTTGCCTTTGACGGAGTCCATTTTCAGAAACGGACAGGGAATCTAAGAGTGTAGCTTCAATGGGATCCAAGGGACCTTCCCGCGTAGAACCGAGTCCGTTGCAAAGGGAAAAGAAAAATGGGGGGAAAAAAGGGGCGGGGGGGATGATAATCTTCAAACTTCATTCTCTGGATGCGACTACCACGGGGGAGAGGGCGGCTTATTATTGTCCTAGGATTCATGAAACTAATTAATAAATATACAAGTCCTACTCGAGCTTTCTCCCTTTACCCGGCCCTGAGTCGGCCGTTCTAGGCATACAGCCCACCTGACCATGTCAGACGGGAATCGACATCCGCTGTCCACTTCGCGCGCCTTTAGCCCCCGTAGTTGACCAAATATATCTGTAGCTAGCGATTAGGACGCGGGGTAGGAGGAAGGGGATGGACGGAACGGCTCCCGAAATCCGGGGAAAAGCCCTTATCTTTTGACCTGCACGCGGTTGTGAAACCGAACCACGAGTTGCTGTTGAGATGAGGCTATGTAGAACCAGGATGCAGAAATCTATTTACAACTGGGGTTCTTTCTCTTCTTCTTTCATACCTTACGCTAATTAAATTCCGCAATGAGACATTTCTACTCAACTCCTCTCATCTCATCCCCTTATTATCCCCGTCGTTCTAAGCGAAATCCCCGGGCAAAGTCCTCCACTTTGTCCCCTTCTCCCCGCCCGCGCCATCCCCTTCCACTAACACCCCCGCTCGACCATCTTCTTCCCCGTTACCGTCGTGGTCGTGGTCGTCGTAGTCGTCCTCCGGCTTGCCCTCACGCGTGGCCCATCCATCAACATGGCGCAGCGTCTCGCGGCTCCAAATCCGGTTCATCACAAAAAGCCGCACCGGCACGAGCACGACGATGATGATGGGGAACCCCGGCGCCGCCACCGTCAGCGTCACCCCGAAAACCACCCCCGTGAGGATGAGCTGGGTGATGGTGTACGTGTGCACGCCGAGCCAGGTCGCTCCGCGCGGGAGAGGTGGCAGGTCGGAGCACGGTGTCAGGAGGTGCCCGATCCTCGCGAGGATGGGGTTCACCGAGAGCGACTGGTAGCCCATGAACATGAAGAGCCCGGCGAGGACGGAGGTGGGCGTCAGGCCTAAGAGGTGCTGGAACGGAGGGGTCACGAAGACTAGGATACCGATTGCCTGGAGCAGGTGCGAGTATCGCTGCTCGTAGACCCGCATGACGGGCTTGCGCGGCGGCTCGCCCGGTTCCTGTGCTTGTTGTCCTTGTCCTTGTCCTTGTCCTCGTTCCTGCTCCTGCTCCTGCTCCTGCTCGCCTTCCGGGTCATCCTCGACAACGGCATGCATCAATGACTCCGAGTGTAAGGGAGCCTGAGGTAATAGCCCGTTTGCCGGGGGGATACCTAGGATTCCGCAAAGGATGGTGGTCGTCCCCAGCAGCGCGACATCCCACGCGTAACCCCCGGGCTTTCGCACTCCGTACCTCTTCGCCGTGCATATGATGCTGCTGATCTCGTGGTCAAAGTAGAAAAGGACGGTGATGATGAATCCGGGGATGATGGCGATGAACACCCACTCGATGGGGATGTTCCAAAACTCGACGAAGAAGTGGCTCCGGCCGGGCGAGGAAGGCCGGACGTCCTTCTGCACTGTGAGAAGGTTGTGGTCCGGCGTGCGCAGGTCTCCGATGTACGGCATCCCGACGAAGAAGACGATGGAGATGGCGGCCGCGTATTCTGCCAGCCCCATTCGGACATATCTGTGAAACAGGGGTTTCCAGTGATTTGCCGTCGACAAGAAAACGGCGAGGAGACAGGTCCCCGATGCGCCGATGATGGCATAGAGAAAGGCCGCGAGGGAGACGACTCCCTTCGTCCGCTGCAGCTCCCGGACCGCCTTGTGGAAGTAGATGACGCTGTTGAGAAGGGAGAAGATGTCGGCGGCAAAGTCGGTCACGTACTGCATGGTCCAGTCGTGGGCGTTGAAGATGGCCAGGAGGTAGTGCATCCACCCTGCGTGGATCAGGGACCAGGCCATGACAGGTAAGAAGGGGACCCCGAAAGTCTTCTCGCACAAGGCGTAGATGTTTTCCGCCAACACCGAGAAGGGTCCCGTGACGCCCAAGATGGTCAGAGGCTGGGCCGAAAAGCTGGAGGAACAGTGAGCAACGATCAGGCTGGGACCAGTCAAGCCGAGATACGTAGGCCGTCCACTTACAGGGCAAAAATGACGCCGCATAGACCCGTACTGAAGACTACCTCGATGGTACCCCAGGATTCGCCAGTCAGGGCATAGAGGTCCCCAGCAAAAGTGATGCCGGGCAATAGGTTCGTGAAGAAGACATAAACGGTACTGGCGACGACGAGCTGGTTGAACACGGTCCAGTCGGAGAAGTAACGGGTCCGGATGTTCCGCGCGTCAACCCGGAGTAGTCGGAACGGGCGTAACTTGCCACCTTTGGCGAAATAGGACACCACTCTGCTCCTATTCCGGACTCCTCGGCGGGCAGGCCCCGAACCTGCATCCGCAGGCCGACGTTCCGGATCATCATCGACGGGTGCAATCTCATCATGGCCGTGATGGGCCCTTGGCTTAGGACCACGGCGGGCCATATTAAAACCAGTCGAGCGAGTGTCCCAGAGGAGTCTTCTTTCTCCCTTATGAAGCTTTGTGTGATACGGATTTGGCGACAAGCGACGACATGATGACTTTTTGGACTGTTGTACGAGTAGCCACGGTTAAGGATAATATTCTGTGACTTTAACGTCGACGATATCAGATTACAGGTACCTGGAAATTAAGAGAAACATTATATAAAGTACGTGTAGAAGCTGGGATGGTTGGTGTTATTGGGATGGGAATCGGGGGGGCAAAGTTCTCAGACGGTGACGACGGTGAGAGTGTAGAAAAAAATGAAGTGGAGACAGCCCGGGGCCGGGGCCGCTACGAGGTTCTAGAATGTGGACCGCTGGCTCCACCATAAACGGCCTGTCTGCGTAAAACCCTTGTTTTCATCGTCGAAAATAAGGGTCTAGATGGAATAAAGCAGAATATTGTATTCTGGGGGTGTTTGTTATTCCTCTAACCGAACCGCAAGCCCAATTCCCTTGCTATTAATTGGATAAAATGCACGTCCGGTACCAGGTACGGGATACTTCGGTGTATGCGTGCCTTATTCGTGCAACAGCTACCTCATCTTGATAGGTACGTACCGCTTCCAATGCCTGACGTCATCTTCACTTCTTATCGGCACAGCTGATAAGAATCGATCTGAGAAACCAATCAGGACCAGTCAATTTCTTCCTATACCGCGTCGCCGCCGCGTGCCTGTGAGAACTGAACATTTCTTTCAAAACCCACACAACACCACTCCCTCATGTGTACAACCACACATCCCCGAGCATCATCACAGCCTGCCGGCCAATCTCCTTCCTGGCAAGCCCATCCACATAGAAACAATGGAAGAAGATCCAAGGTAGCATGATACTTACATCTGGTGACCTATTGTTGCCTTGAACCATCATGACAGGCGCCGCCGCCGCCCACTTCTTCCCACGTCTCACCTTTCCTCTCTCCGAATCCATCCCCCGGTCCTACTATCTCGGCCACCACCATGCCGGATTACGCGAAATCTCCAAGCGCCTCTCCAACGTTGGCCTCGTCGTCGAGTGCCGCGACTACCGCGTACCACTGACGAGCTGGAACCACCACCTCGACCGCGCCATCGCCGGCCGCCATCGCATAGTCGTCTACACCCATTCCGACCTCGGCACCGATACCCCCGCCGCCGATCGCGCCCTGCGCCGCCTCCACGCCTCCAATGACTTCTCTTCTCCCTCCGGCGTCATAACCGGCCACCGCCATCCGGCCGTTTTCTGGCGCAAAGATAAACCCGAAACCACGAGGGCCCTCCTCTCCGAGATCCGCTCCGTCGCCCGCACAGCCGACTCGCTGACCGGCCTCCGAGCCCTCGTCGTCGGCATGCCCAACGTAGGCAAGAGCACCCTCCTCAACCGCCTGCGATCCCACGGCATGCACAACGCCCGCTCCAAGACCTCCGTCGCCCGCGTCGGCGCCCAGCCGGGGATCACCCGCAAACTCTCCACCCCCGTCCGCATCCTCGACGGCCGCGGCCCCCGCCGTCGTCGCGACCCCAACCACCCCAACGGCCCCAACCACCCCAACGACCCCGAAGCCGGAAACCGAGACGACTCCCTCGGCGAAGGCGTTTTCGTCCTCGACACCCCGGGCGTCTTCATGCCGTACGTCGAGCGCGCCGAGGACATGGTCAAGCTCGCCCTCGTCGGCTCCGTCAAGGACGAACACATCCCCACCCACATCCTGGCCGACTACCTCCTCTACCGCATGAATCTCGTCGACCCGGCCCTGTACGCCCGCTTCTGCGACCCCACCAACGACATCGCCGACCTGCTCGCCGGCGTCGCGCGCCGCACGGGGAAGCTCAAGGCTGGCGGCGTCGTCGACGAGGACGCCGCCGCTACCTGGGCTGTCCAACAGTGGCGGATGGGCAACCTTGGCAAGTTCGTCCTCGACGATGTCAGCGACGAGACCTTCCGTGAGAGGGAGCAGGCCCGGGAGAGTGGCGGCGCCGTCAGCCTTAGCCAGGCCAGGAAACGAGAAAAGGAATTGAGGAAGGAGAGGTCGCAGAAAAAGCAAAAAGCTGGTTGATGTGGGAGGAATGAATTGTTGTTCTGAAATGGCATACATGTATACATATACCATTCTCTGTACTTGTACTCGAGTCGCCATGAAGCTGGAAGCTGTACGCTATAGTAGAAGGCAGTGTCATCGTGCCGACTATCTCCGACTGATATACACATCTCTGAATATCGCAATCCTTCTTCTTTTTTTAAAATAAAAAGAAGATACCCATGTCTTCAAAGTTTGAATGACACATAAGAAAATCCCACATGTTCTGCAAGCCTATCCGTGGCAACGACTCGACCTACTTGTCATAGATCCATCTAGTGAGGCAGAAAAGCATCCGAGAAGGAAAAAAAGCCTTGAAGCATAACGCCATGACAAAGAAATCAAGAGAAGAAACAAAATTCCCATCCCATGCCTGTTCCATAAACCTCCAATGAAGCCCTGTTCGCCCCCTATCATACATTAAAAGCCATCCAACGCCCCTGCCGTCTAGCTTGCATAATGTTTCTGCCATTTCAACAAATCCCGAGTCAGGGCATCCATCATCTCCACACAGCTAAGGTCCTGGAACTTTGTCGATTTGGGGGGTGCTGCGTCGTCTGTGGACACTCCCTTGACCGCGTCTTTGGTCCCTTCTTCAGGCTTCCCGTTGACGTCGGTGTCCACACTCGGCCCGCTCGGTTCAGGATCGCGTGGGCTCGGTTGTTCCGAGCTGTTCGGGGTCCCTCTTGACCCGGACGTCGACTCGCCCGCCATTTCAATTTGCGTCTTGGAGATGAAGTCGAGGAAAGCCGCCACACGTCGCTTCATGTCGGTCATGGACATTTTGCCGTGTACCCCTCCCTTGCCCTTCCCGCCGTGCTTACTGTGCTCCGCCGCCGACGACGTTTTGGAGTGTCCGCTGGGCTGATGGTCATCGGCCGGCCGAGTCGTATCCCTCGACATGGACCTCGCAGGCGATTGAGGATGATCCATGTCCTCGCGGTCACGAGTGTATTGGTTCCGGCCTTTGCCACGCTTCAGATTTCGGCTTGACTTCTTATGGGTGCCTCCCGTGCTGGGCGGAATGGTGGGAGTTGGTTCTGGTGTCGGCACAGGGGATGGTACGGGGTCTGCGGGAGGAGCAGGAGGAGCAGAAGCAGAAGGGGCAGGGGGGGGAGGAGGAGGAGGAGGGGGAGGTGGTGGTTGTAGTTGTGGCGAGGTGGCAGTGGCAGTGGCAGTGGCAGTGGCAGACGCAGTCGTAGTCGCAGTCGCAGTCGCAGTCGCAGTCGCAGTCGCAGTCGTAGGAGGATCGTCTTCAGTGGTAGAGGGAGCAGAGGTAGGAATTGGTTGCGGAGGATCTGTGCTCGCTTTCGCTGCTGGCCGAGGCGCAACTAAAGACAATTCTTCAGAAGGCTCGGAATCTGCGCCCGAAGGAGTCTTCTTGGAGTCCTTAACAGGAACGCTGTCGGGCACACCCTCAGCTTGCCTCCGGTCCGACCGGCCTTTCTTCTTGGTAGTGCTCTCGGTACGCTGTCGCTCTCGGTCTTCGCGTTCCGACTTTTGTTTCGGATCACGACCGTTGCGTGACTTCTTGGATCCGGTGCCGATTCGGTCGACTTCTTCATCCTCAGACCCGTCTTCAACTGCCACCGACTTTTCCGGAGGAGGTGAGGCCGAGGAGGTCGTCCGTTGTCGTTTTAGGTTTGTTTGATTTCTGCAACAAAACAGGATCAGTGGCGGCGTATACAACGAATGGGCAGGGTTGCTGCAGCCCACTCACTCTTCACTATCGCTACGGCCGCGCTTCGGTCTCCTTGAAGCCGCGTCTGTCGGCTCGAGGGGGGCATCCTCTTTGCTAGCTTCAATTGCACGTCGCAATTGGTCGTCTTCATCGTATGCCGCGTCCCGGCTATTCATTGTCGATCGCCGTTTCGAGGTTTGCGTGGCGGAAGAGGCACGCCCGCTCTTGGTTGACGCTTCTTTGGGTGACCGAACACTGTCCTTGGAGGTGGCTCGAGAAGTCGTACGCGATGGGCGGCCGAGGGGAAGATAATTGGAGTAGCGTTGTCTGATCAAGAAAGGCCATCGTAAGAATTTGGATCAAGGAATCAGGGAAACAGGGAAGACGTCCCGAAGCAGAAGCATAGAAAGACGATGTCGCCGCCCGTTTTCTACGGTCATTGGGTCGCCCACACGGATGGAGACGGCAACGTTTGGACAAACCCAGACAAAACAGACAACGAAACATTTTTTTTTTTTTTTGAAAACAAAGCCAAATAAAAATAAAGCAAGGCAAAGAAGAGCAAACGTACCCATTGTTTGCAGTGTGGATCTTGTGTAGGTCCTTTCGACACTTCTCGCAAAAGTATTCATCAGGCGAGCTCTCCTCGGTGAAAATGCCGACGCAGGCGCCGTGCTGCCAGACTTTGCAAATGTCGCATTGCACAAAAAGCCCAGACACTTCGTCTGAGAGCTCAATGCTGGCAAAAAAATCCGCCTCCGGGTTGTGCTTCCCATGCGTTGTATCCTCGTCGAATGGCGGGGGGCCGGGGTATTCGTCGAAACCGCAGACGCAGCGGACCGACTCATCGTCCTCCTGTATCTCGTCTCCGTCATTTGTCATTTCGTAAGGGTCGACTCTTATTACTTTGTCGCGCATCTCTTCTTGTCCTCGCGTCCGGCGGCGGGTGAGGACAGTCTCTTCAAGATCTTCAAGAGGCTCGGAAGAAAGCGAAGCGGTCGGTGTCGACTTGGATGAGGTGTTCTTGTGCACCGACCTCGTGTTCCTATCCGCTCGGCCTGAGATGCTCGAGGTAGAAGAGGAAGAAGGCTGAGATTGGGTTATGGTGTTTCCTCGTGCCCTGGAGGAACGCCGAGGAGACGAGGGTGCCATGGAGGCAGATTGAGGAAATCGAGTCGCAGATGCGTGGGAGGTAGGAGGGCCTGAACAAGAAGACAGGAGCGTGGAGGTTAGAAAACGAAAGAGAAAACCGGCCACTCAGGTAATCACAAGACCCCAACGTGGCAGGAAACATGAATAGGAGAAGCCAACCTTGTCTGGTGTTTGTGGGCAGTTGTGAGGGTTGTGAGGGTTGTGAGGGTGGTGAGGGTGGTGAGGGTGGAAGAATTGCCGTGCGACTGGGGCAAGCTAGATTGAAAGAAGGGCTCGCGTGTTCCGAGAAAGTCGTAAACGGGAGTGAGCTGTTCGCATGCCTGACATTGAGGTGAAGAAATAATAGGGCATACCGCAAGGTAATGCGCAAGGCCGAAGAATGGTGTGAGGAGCAAAGAGTAGAGGCGGTTCGTGGGAGAAAGTTGCGGAGGGATTCGACAGGGCCGGGTCTTGGGGAGGTTCCAGCTCCTTTGGTCGCTGCTTTGTGGCAGACGAGTCCGCGCCCACCATCAATCGCCATTCCTGGTTAAGAGGTACAAGCTATAATGGCAATGTACGTACCATTAACCACGAAGTACTTAGCTCCGCACAGTCCGCGAATATGTACTTCGTACATGCATTCAGCAGGTATTCTGCGGGGCTGGTATCGTTGGTTCGGAGTACTCCGTCGACAATGTAGGCCAGGTTCGAGTAAACTACAGGTACAGGTACCTTAGTTTTGTGCATAGTCTGTACTAGAGACTTGTCAAGCACACTCATTGGAGAAAAGACGGTATTAACTCGCTCACAGCCAGCTGAGCTCTTCCGTACCGCTTCGAGAGCCATCTGCATTTGTTTTGGAGGTAGTACCTCGGCGGGGTAGCTTGATTTAACGTTCGACTCTTGAAAGGAACTTCATCATAACGCTTATGTGTGTGCCTTATTTGTATGAATTCTTTCCCAAGATGGCCTGCTTGGGAAGCCTTTGATCTACACTGGGTAACATTGCGGTGATGTGATGTCAAGGGTTAATGAAGTTGGTCCACGAAGAGAGAAGAAAGACACCATCTCGAAGTCAATTGAGCCGTTATGACTCAATGAGTGCACGTATCCAATTATTCAATTTATCAAAGCAGTAAATGCAATCAATTGAGACTCGTTTGCCTCCCCTATCTCTTTAAAGAGTCCTAAAATGACTGTAGCCCCTCTCCCTCCCGGAGCTTAGATAATACGGACCGGTGACCCTTGCCGCCCCCTAATCGCACATTCAAGCATATTGTCATGGAATTGTTCCGCTGTCATTAGCAATCAAAGGTCTAAACATCATCCCGCAACACGAACAGGACGTCTTGCTTGTGGTTCTTGCTCTTTTGGCCGCCAATACATCTGTTTGTTAGCTTTTCTACCCATCTGGATGTACTCATCTCGAACAAAAAGGTATGCTGGGCGTTCGCCTTCTCCTCCATTCTGGCTGCCCAACCATGCCGTGGTCTATGAGCCATCCTGGCCTCTTCCTACCTACGATGTCCGCAGGGGTCGTGGGATTTGTGACCTGCACCTTACCCTGCTCCCCTTCGATTGGAATACAGAGATGCATATCCAGCGGAGCGGCCTGGGGATCACAGTCGGACTCGGAGCTTCTTTTTACTTGGTAACCGGCTGCTAACTGCTCGCCAGTCTGGATCATCTCGTCACCTCAGCGAAGCCATCGATATATTTTCGTCTCCTCGTGCCCTCGAACTTCAGGACGGTATATCTCTGCCTCATTTCGGATACGTCAACTTTGTTTTGCAAAGGGAGACTTCGTTTCTCCTTCCTTCGTTTGGCCCTGTTCGAGCTTGGTGGGGAGTGGATAGACTTGGCGATACCACTGAAATCATTCGGAAGAAGATGATGGGTACGACCCTCTTCCTGCCGACGTGTCTTCTCCGAGCAGTCCCTTGCTTCTCGTTGGTTGCTGCTCTCCCTACAGGCTTAGCCACTACCCTACATTTCAAAGTAGGGTAATAGCTAGGACTAAGGGATGGCGTTGCCCTCTTGGTCAGCCTTGTAGTACGCCCGTAAGCTCACTCGCTGATTTTTTTCTTCTTTTTTCATCCAACATTAGGTCCTGAACACGATAGAAGTATGTCACCGGAAGCCCTGTCTTCACTGTTCCAGCACCGCCCCATCCGACCGTTACCCAAGCGGAGGCTCCGAGAACGACTGTCCCCCGAGGCTGCGGATTCGATCGAGTACCCGCCTTCAAATCAGAACTCGAGCCCGTTATTTCTGTATCCTGGAGTCATTCGCGAGGAGCCTTCGCCGACGTTGGGCAAGAATTATACAGTGGTTCGAGACTCCGGATACGAGGATGGTCCCGGGGGCAGCGCGGAGGGCGGAGAGAGCGACGAGGATGAGTCGAAACGATTTTCCAACAGCAAGGTTGTGCGCCGATCACATCCCGAGATCCTGAACCGAGCCGCCGCCTCTGCCTCTGCCTCTGCCTCTGCCTCTGCCGCCGCCACTGGCCAAGGTCCCAAACCCGGTCAATCCAAGAACCACACGCCGCAGCCGCCACCTTCTACAGCGTCGTCGGCCGATGGCTACGACTCGTTCGAGAACACGAATAACAAGAAGAAGCGCAAGATACCGACGGCGGGCGACTCGTCCTTAAATGGCACTCACTCCCTGGCAGAGGGTAACTCTATTGGCGTATCGGGGAGCACTCCTCCCTCGAACGATGCTGACTTGTCCGGCATGGCCTCCCCTTCCTATTATGGAACGGGTACCTTCGTTTCGAACAGCCAGGGCATTTCTGGACCGGGAAGAGGGAGGTTCGGCCGGTCCAGGAACGGGCGGAGCCCCTTGAGAGCTCTGTCCGACGCTGCCAACAGCTGGGTCGGGCGAGGAGTCAAGCCCCGGCCTCCTCAGTGGCCGGGTAGCCCAAGTAAGTCCCCACAAGTCGTTATTGCTTTCTGCTTGCCGTCTTCTGTCTGCTCTTTTGAACATACCATGCCGGGTATTTCTGTTACTGTGACGATCACTTGGTGTGATGCGAGTCGTAGCCTTTTCTGCTTTTCCTTTCCAGAAGCCATTCGCAGCAGGAGTATTCGTGCAGACAGCAACGGGCCTGCTCCACGATGTTTCCCTTGCATAAAGGTTTTCTTTTCATTTCCGTGCCGCTTTCTTTTGCTTTTGCTTTTGCTTTTGCGTTTGCTTTTGTTTTTCCTTTCTTTCTCCTCGTCTTTTTCTGTTCTTTTTCCTTGTCCTCCTTTTCTTCATGCAGCAAAGGGCACTATCATGGCATTTGCCGTCGTCAGCAGATTCATGCTTATCCTTCCACATCACACTCACTCCAAGCATACGATAGCTCTATTGCTAACCTGATATTTGTTCTCCAAGACGAGAGTTCAGGGATTATATCCAGCGCTATTGCCAAGGCCGAGAAGTTGTCGGGCAGTGCTGGCCAGGAAAACGTCAGTTTGCTGCATCAACCCCCGTCCCACACGGCCAAGCCAAGGCCGACATCAGCCCAGTTCACCTTTACATGCGATTCCCAAGTCCCTGGTACGCAGTGGCCTGGTACGGACCCGGGTGTACACTCATTGCTATCGCTCTCTGGGTACGCGGGGATGAGCAAAAGTAAGCACGCATCGATGGCAACGCAGACGGGAGTCGATCCGGCCGGAGTGTCCGGTGGAAGCAGCAGGGTGCTTCCGAATCCCAGGGCATCGGGAAAGAAGAAGAAAAATCGGCGCCGCGGGGAGAAAGAGCTCCAAATGGCGGCGGCGCGACGGCGCCAGGAGGCATACGAGAAACTGACTAATCATGCGCCGCGGCCGGAGGATGTCTGGATTTGTGAATTCTGCGAATACGAAAGAATTTTTGGCGTCCCCCCCTACGCGCTTATTCGGCAATACGAGCTCAAGGACCAGAAAGTCCGACGACAGGAGGAGGAGAGGAAGCGATTGTTGGAGAAGGCCAAGGCCAAGAGCAGGAAGGCTAAAAAGGCTCCCAAGTCGCCGCCCAAGTCGACGCAAGACTCGCACTCCGCCGCACATGCACATTCGCACAACATGGATTCCACCAGCGCTGGCCAGTCCAACACCACGGACGAAGAATACCCGCATCCTCCGGAGGACGATTTCGATAACTACTCTCTAGAAGATCCCCCTATGCTTCTTTCTGATGATCCGGGTCCGGACGATGTTGGCCCTGAACGCGACGTCAAGGAAGCCGGGAAGTCTGAGGGCGAACGAGATCGAGACCGAACGGGGCCCGATTTAAAACATCACCAATACCCTCCCTCCGGCGATCCACTTCGACACACAACAACCACGGGCGGTGTCGCAACTTGACACTTCGTGTAGCCTGGACAGCAGGCCTTGATTTGTGTCGGGTGCGAGGGTCACCGTCAAGAGCCGCCGTCATTCTTTTCCGCTCTTTGCTCATTTTTTCTCTTTTGTTTTCCTTTCTCTTCCCCCTCCATTTTCTCTACCTCGGTCCTGATCGGCCCGCGATTTGTTGTCATGGTCATGGTCATCGTCCACCTTTGGCCACTGCTTCTCCGGTACTTTCTCTACCTTGGTAATAATTTTTTTTACACCCCTCTTCAGCGAATCTTTTGCTCGGAAACAGAACGACGGGTCCGGAAAAGATGACTGGGTATATGCCAAAATGATTCTCGTCTCGCTTTCGGCGAGAATTCGACCCATATTTACAGCGACACGCATTTACCAAACAAAACAGCCACAAAGATATAATCATTGTTAATCAACAAGACCCGCGGGGTCGGGCCATTCTCTGGCAGCGGGTCACCTTTTGGCATCTCTGGCAAGGGAGAGCAATGGGCGGGACTTGTTGTTCATTGGGCAACAGCTACCTCTCATCTCAAAACGGCGAGGATCTCGTTTGGCAAGCGGCGAAGAAGCTCCCGGCGTTGTCCTTTTTCTTCTTTCCGACTTTTCCGTTCCATTGTCAAGGCGTGGCCTCGTACGAAGCGCATTGATGACACGGGCACTGTGACGGACTGGACAGCATTGGCAGGGGTCAACCGGCTGATTCATATTTGTTGGATGGTGTTGGATACGGGACAGGCGAGACCATGAGGTTGACCTGGCTTGGCTTTCGCTGCTGGACAGATTTAGTACATGGAACCGTGTGGCGACCACGAGCCTTCGCCTGACGAAAGTCTCTTTTTCTGGTAGCAGCCATTGCTCGGTACGTGCTGGCACACGAGTTGTGCTTAAAATAACAATCCACTCCCCTACCTGAAGGCAATCCGCCCTCCGTACTCCGTACTCCGCACTCTGTACTCCGTAGACTTTCGTGCTATGGGCTAGCTTCGCAGCCTTTTGTTCTCCAAATGGTATAATATGTTACCGCACATGGGACACCTACTTCGTACTGGCTCTCGGTGCTAGAGGCAATGACGTAAAGTAGTGAGCCGGACAGAAACCAGCGTTATCCTTGGGGGCTACTGCAGGGCTACCTACTGTAGGGGACGAGGCAGCTACTGGACGCTAGAGCTTGAGTATGGTGAGAAGGCACACCCCACATCATTGTTGTAATCAGACCAGGTCAGCGTTGACGTTGGAGAATTAAATAAGGAAGAAGAAAAAAAGAAAAAAGGAAAAAGGAGGATTAATATAGAAGGGGTACGATCCCTTAGATTTCCCTCGAGTCCCTTAAAATCTCCTAAAGCGACGTGACGTGGCTCAGCACCAATTGTCATTCGTGTGGGGGGCCCGTCTGTTTTAGTCAGGTAGGTATCCATACTCCAAGGCGTCCGACGTGGAGGTATCGTTTGTTTCTTACTGTGTCTCTGATTTCGGCAAATCAACGAGACGAGGGAGCTGGATGTGGGGCTCATATGAACTTTGCCAGCTGACATCCGCGATTCATGCAGCACACCCACCCGCGAGGTACAAAGTATTGAGTAAGTACCTGGTACGGAGTACCTCGAACAAAAATCAACCCAATCCGACGAGCTAGGAGGTACCTATAGGTAGCTGGTTACCTTACTGAACGCGGTCATTCGCTTGGTATTCCCAAATTCCCTACACTCCTCCTACCTCCACGTTCCCAATCCCATTTCCCCCAAAAAAACTCTCTATGGGAAAACCTGATCTCGTCATTCACTTTTCACTCGCGTTTTCGTTTCCGTCCCTAAATCCAAATCCATCCTTCCTATTTCCTTTCTTCTTTCAACGGTCGCTCGTCAGCCCACCTTTTCCAGGAAACAAAAGTCTTCAATACCTACGACATAAGCCACGTTCGTTCCTTTCTACGGATTAATTCCCATAATCTACAACTACTACCTTACTCACCTTTTCGCCTGTCCAATACGGAACTGCAACTACATCGTCATCAACATCAACATTGTCATCGTCGTCGTTATCAGCGTCATGCCGGGACTCGCGTCTTTGCCTCGGTTGTAATTCGTCTCGTCCAGTGCAGAAGAGCCGCTTCGACGGGCCGCGAACACGACATTGGAGGCTTTGATTTGGGTACACGGATTCAAGGCTCTTTAATTGGGAACAAATCTCCAGGAACGGAACGTCGTCATGTTTGGGAGCACGAGAAGGAAGAAGCGGCAACCAGCTCAGGTATGCCGTCATTGACACTTTGGGCCCTCGCCCCGTTGGGCAAAAAGAAGAAGAAAAAAGAAGAAAATCGCAATGATGGCTAATCTTACTACCGCACAGCCGTTGACTGCTGCTACCGTGAACGCGAGTGCTGCGACGGCTGCTGCCGCTGCCTTTGGACGTCGCGATTCCATGTCGTCCCTTTCATCCGCCGCAGCAGCCGCCGCCCTACGTTCCAGACCGATAACACCAACCAATGTCGCCGATGTCCAGACCAGGAGGACCATGAGGAGAAGCGCCTCCGTGTCGTCCCAACACAGCTACCCCGACACCAGGCCCGCCGACCTACACCGATCACCCAGCCAGAGCTCCATGTCCGGCCGCACCTTTCGCTCGCCTTCGCCCTCTCCTCACAGGACCTCTTCGCCCGCTACTCCCGTCGCCCCCGACGCGCCGCCCGTACCTTCAATCCCCGACAACATGCGTACCGCCTCTGCTGCCGCGGGCACTCGTCGTAAGGCGCCGCCTCCGAACTTGCATACACAGCCTTTCCACGTCGCCAGCCAGAAATCAAACAATGGCGAAGGGGGGGCGACTGGAGGAGGAGGAGGAGGTTCGTGGTTTGGCGCTGCTAGCGAAGGCGATCTGGCCAACGTGAGAAGATCGAACGCGGCCCTGCAACAAGCCCAGCAGCAACTGCCAGCAGCGGAATCCCGCTCCGGAGCCGTAAGCCCAACCTCTCCTATCAACTTCTCCTACCCCCGAGGTACGCAGGTCGGAACACCACCGCCTGCGTCACCCGTCGTCGCCGAGAGAAATCCGTCAGTAACACAAGACCAGCAATCCGTTTCCTCCCGTCGGAGCAACTCGGTCGCCTCGCGCCAATCCTCGTCCTCGGCTGCCCCGGATCAGGGTCTGGTGTACGACCCGAATTCCAGAAGAATGGTGCCCAGGCCAGACTTGCGGGCGATGGAGATGTCCGTCCGCGCCGCCTCGGAAAAGCCGGTCAAAAGACATAAGAGCCAATCGAGTCTATCACGGAGCGGATCGCATCTTTCGAAAGGGACCGTGGCCAGGACATCAGGAACCCTCGTCGAACCTGCAACACCGCCGTCGAATCAACCACTCCCCTCGTCCTCTGCCGAGCCGCAGGATTCATCTCGGCCACATCCCCCTTCGCTTGAGAACGGCAGCGTATCGGCACCTAAGGCCCCTGCTGAAGAAAAGCCAATAAACGGGGAAGCAAGGCCGCAAGAAACACAACCTAACCACCTGTCATCGTCCGGCCCAACGGCCTCGTCGCAGCCAGCCCCGATAAGCCACAAACAGGACCCTGAGCCACTATCTCACGCGGAGAAGCCCCCTTGCGCTGTCCCTGTCCAGGTCGAAGAACCGACTACGTCCAAGGGGAATCTGAATCTGGAAGAAAAGGAGGTCGAGGAGGGGCACGTAACACCATCAGCTCCACTAGCACCTGCCGGTGTCGTTTCTGCTTCCGAAGCCGTTGATTCGGTCCCAGTGAAATCGTCTCCTCCCCTGGCCCGAGTAGCCTCAGTTGATCGCCGCTGTGCCAGACCCGGCTCCATCAGCCCCGTTCGAAACGCTCGTTTTTCGTTGACGAACGACCAGCTCGTGGTGAAACACGAGCCTCCTCCGAGATCTGTGTCACCCCGGAAATCCGCCATGAAGAACTCAACGAGCCCCTCCCGAGGCGCCTCTCCGTCAGACGAGGGCTCCGAGATGAGCGCGGACGTGGCAAACAGATTCGAAGATCAGCCCATGTCACGCAAAAAGAGCGTCCGAGTCAGCTTCAACGACGAGAATACTCAAATAATTGGTGAAGAGGGCTCGGAGACACGTGCCGATCATTCTCCCGTGGCCCGCAGTCCGCAACAAGCGAATCGGTGGTCCTGGACCAGCAGCAGGCCCAGGACGATGGATGCCAACGCGGTCCCAATCCTCGACGATGACGAGATCATGAAGCCCCGACCAGCGCTGCCGTCGTTTGGAAGCATAAGGGACAAGAAGCATCGGGACACAGGGGAGGAGCGTCCTCTTGTGCGACCTCATGCTCCAGGACACTCGTCCCCGGGCTCTGGCTCGGGGATGACAACGATGCTTCATCCTTCTTCCGATCATGAGGATGTAGAAGAACCCACCGGCCAATCCAGCGACTATAACATCGGCTCGGTCTTGCAACAGGAGCATGTGTCGTCGAGGAGGAACGAACCCAGCCAGTCCAAGTGCCAAGATCCGTTGCCGCCCGTTGTCACGTCGCTCGAGGGCAACGGATACTACTCCGCCAGCTCTACGGAAGACGAATTGGATAGCGAGTCGCAAGACGAATCCGAGCCAGGCATCGAAAACCATGCGGCCCAAGTACCTGCCTTAACGCCCATTCAGGAAGTTCCCCACGAATCCAACCTGACGTCTTTGCCGGAGCAGGGCAAAAAGGATGCAGATTTGTCGAGAGATGTGCATGGCCCCCGCGGATCAGCGAAACCGTCGCTTCAACCCATCGTCCATCATGGACACGAAGGCCGGCAACAATCACGCCCGAGCATTCCCTCTATTGCAATCATCGAGCCCAGTCCTGGAGTAGTAGCGGCAGCAGAGGGGTCTGACGGGGACGAGACCAAACATCGGGACCCAGCCGGCTATTTCGAAGTACCCGGCAGCTTTCCCCAAGACGACGCACAGAGGAATGCCTCGAACCCGAACACGAACGCGAAGGCGCCCAACGGCATTCATCCAGGACCCAATCAACCAAACCATGTCGTTGCCTCCAACACGGGGCCTCACGTCTCATTCGCAACCATCACGAAGAAGGCTGACCCGGACTCCGACTCCGACTCCGACTCCGAACACAACTCGTCGAACGACAGTATATATAGTGATGCCTACGAAGATCTCTCGGATGTCGATGAGGGAGGTTTCATGTCACTGGATGCCATCGTGACTACGCCAGTCTCATCAGAGAAGGTCTCTCGGAAGCTCTTTGAAGAAGCGCTCGCAATATCCCCGTCCAACAAAGAGGCGCCTAGAGACGAAATAGCTTCCGCAAGATCGGAGCTTCTACCCAAATCCCCAGGGCCTCGCACTCCTGTCCCCGAGCCTTTGGAAACCCCGACGACTGATGAGGATTGGGAAAAGGCCAAGGCGTATTGGAGGAGCTTGTCAAGCGAAAAGCGCAAGCAGCTTGAACAGGAGGCGCTGGGCGATGCGCTGGGGGATCCGGCATCTCAAGCAGATCACAAGGCAGTTGACCAAGCGAGGACAAGGGCCACTGAAAAGGAAGGAGACCAGGGGTCCGTGTCCGGGACACAGCAGCAGACCGAACGCAAGCCGGCGGCAGTTGGCCCTCGACGGATGTACCAGATTGCTCCTGGGACGAAAGTACCCGATAGTCCCGACGAACCGCCATCGCACATGCGCAAGACTTTACGGGCTGCTGTCGAGTTACAAGAGCAAACGAATGGCCACGCCGGTGGTGGGCTCAGGACGTCGATGAGAGGCGAGGCCGGGGCGAAAAAGGCTTCGACAGCGAAAGCGCCACGGCCTGTGAGCGTCCCGCAGGCTCCGGTGTCTCGCGACACATCCATCAAGCACAAGAGACAAATTTCACTTGACACCCCGGCTTCGAGCGCCGCCTTGGCCGCCGGCACGGGGGCCGCCATGCGGCCTTCCCTGCGCCGTCGGGGGTCGGATTCGAGCGAAAGCAGTTTCAAACGTGCGCGGGCCCAACGTCAACGGCAGGGTCTTGGCTTTCGCCGATCCATGCGGACGGCGTCCCCCGAGCGAGGTGTCGACGCGCAGAGGAGCTCTCGGTTCAGCCTCCGCTCCATATCTCCACCGGCCTCGCCACCACCTGGCGCGGGTGGGCATCGGATGGGCATGCGTTCGACCTTGCGCGGCGACGCGAGCGACGAGAGCGGACATCGCATGCGGGTTCCCACCTTCGGTCGGCGGTCAGGCAAGAAAGCGGCCGAGAAGCACAAGAAGAGCAGGTTCGACGATTCCAGCGACGAGGAGGACGTGGTGCGGCGTTCATCAACCGCTTTCCGCAGCCGATTTGACGTCGATTCGAGCGACGACGAAGGAGGCGTGCGCCCACGAGCGGCGTCGGGAACCATGCCCAAGAGTCTGCGCCACAGGGCCTCGACGGCCCGAGCGACGCGGAATGGCAAGGGAACTACCGCGCCCGAGGACCTCCTTCACAGCAGTGACGACGAAGAAGACGTAACAATCCCTCGGAGGACCGCTAGCGGCAGGACTCTGAGGTCGCAGACGGATCGGCACGCCCCCAAACACAAGCGGTCTGGACGGGGAGAGCTTGCGGTGGGAGTGGCTGCGGCTTCGGCTTCGGCTTCGCCCCTAGCAGCAGGCGGCGCGGAGCAGGACGCCCCGCCACCGCACCGGGGGAGCGGCTTCTTCTCGGTCCTGCGGCGGAGGAAAGACGGCTCGTCCGGCAAGATCTCTCGGCCGGAACCCCGGGAAAGCGCGGCGCGGCAAGATACCAAGCTCGAGCGCAGCGCCGACGAGATCTCGAACCTGCGCCACGGCGGGTCGCTCCGGCTGCAGAAGAACCGCGGGGCCAACAACTGGCCGCTCCTCGACGACGTCGCGGAAGAGAAGCGCCCTGCGACGGCTGGGGCGGAAGTGCCCGCTGCTGCTCCTGCTCCTGCTGCTGCTGCTGCTGCTGCTGCTGATGCGGCCGCGAAAGAGTCGCCGCGGTCTATCTTTTCGAAACGGCGCAGCGCGAGCCACGGGATACTCGGGTTGGGGCTGGGGCACCACCACCATCATCGTCATCATGAACAACGACCACCGCGGGAGCAGGATACCGGGACGCCGGACTTGGACGACCAGTCGCAGGCGGACGGATCGGTGAGGAAGAAGAAATTTGGGAAACTGAGGAAGATGTTCGGCTTGAACGATTAGGGAGGGCGGTCAAGTCCTTTATCGTCCATCTTATCACAGCTTCAGCTCGTGAGGCTCGACAGGAGAGGAAAGCGAGGGGGGAGGATCCGCACATATTGGAGCAAACATATCACGGTAATCTATTACGAGCATGGACAGCAGCTCGGTCTTTCTTTTGCGTCATCTACAATGGTTAAGAGGGGGTAGAGTCGAAATAGGGATAGGGAGAACCCGTTGGCGGGTTTCCGGTGTTCAAAATGTCCAGCAAAGCGTGTCCAGGTACAGGGAGTGTTCCCAACAGCTACGATTCCCCAACGATAACCACATTATTTATTTTTGTTTATATTTATTCTATATTTTATTTACTTTTTAACTTTCTGGTTTTATCTACCCGTGTCTTTGAATACTTGTCCATTTTGAGCATTTGTTTCGATTATGAATATGGCCGGCCTCTTGGCTGGGAAAGGTCTGTCGTGGCTGGGAGGTATAGGCGGCGTATTATTACTGAGTACATGGATCGGGAGTTGGTCACCTGGTCCCTTAATACTACCTACCCCCTTAAATACCTTACTGTCGGCTCACTAGAGCCAGGAGGTCTGCTTGTCGGTCGCGAAATAAAGAGGTACATAACTATACCGCGAGATACATGCTGATCAATCACGAGGATCATGCGCGGGATATAGTGCATAGGGATAGAAAACCCCCCTTCCCTCCTGCCTTTCCAGAACTTTTCTCCCCCCGTTCCCCTTTCCCCTTCCCCTCCATAATACCAGCGACCCCCACGCGGGGTCTACCGCTTAGCACAAAAATGGACGAAGATACACGTGTAGAAGGAATGGGAAATGGGGCTGCGTGACCTGCATTATACACTATGTATCCTACAGATATGCCGAGCATTCCTCCCTGTTTCATCTTCTTCCAGCCTCCTCGGTTTCCCTTAGCGTTAGGATCGTGTCTGTTCCGTTCTTTGACCCTGGTCGTCTCTCGGCCATGCAAAGGAGGAGGAACGTGATGGTCATGCGCAAAACGGAAGGAAAGGTCCTGGCTATTGCATCGCTGTTTGCCGTCAAATGTACATGGATAAGCGGGCTGTTACAGAATCATTCCACGACTCCACATCCTGATGCACCTCTCCTCAAAGATACGCGGGGGTTTTTTTTTTTTACTCTGGCCCGTCTTCTCCTCGTGGACCAGTCAGCCCTGAAAAAAAAAATTACCCCCAAACTCCGGTCCCCATGCATGGTGTCCCAAAATATTGGAGATGATTACATGGGAGTGTTAATGTGCCTTGCGGAACTTGCCAAACTTGCTTTCAGCAAATGCGCGTTGAGTGATATACAGCTAGTTACACCTAGATAATTAAGCCCTATGAAAGAAGCTCAGGGCCTCGATCGATGTTGGTTCAGTTGATTAAACCCCTTCCGTCGCCCCTTGTCCCCTAGTCGCTCCTTCTCGCGCTCAAGGAGCAAGGTGAGCTGACTCCTGGACCGGGCCATCGGGACGGAAGGGGTGGGGCTTGGCATCGTCGGCCTGAACAGCGATGTTGTTGACGTGTTTCTGGTCAAGTGCGGTGACCCCGGTGCGTCCCCGTCGAATGCGCCCAGGGCTTCGAGAACACGAGCGTCGGGTTCGTCTGTGAGCTTGGATACCTGCCCTGTGGCTGCCACGTTGGATGTCGCGGCGGTGGCGTTCGATAGTAGGCCATGGGAAGTAGTGCGCCCCAAGTTCGGCTTCCGTGGTCCTGAATGCTCTGCGTGGGATGACGCCCTCTCCATTTTTGGTGCCACCATGTGATGTGAGGCCTGCCCTCGCGGGGCGGATGTAGAAATCTGTTCCGCGATCCCGCCGTCACTCCCCGTCTTCATTTTGTCCTCGGATCCGTTCACTTCTGTCCGGCTTTCTCGGGAGATATCGGAAGGCGGTGCTGGCAGCTGGCAGTCTTCTCGCTGTGGCCGATCATCAAGCGGAGGGGGTAGCAGCTGCTTTTTCTGTTGTTTCTCATGTCGATTTGCCTTTTGGCCTCTCAACAATGGGGACGCCGGTGAAGGCCTCACATCGGGCCGCTTCCCAAGAGCTTTCGCACTTAGTGGCGGCGTACCGTCGGCGTGGGAGTCCGGGGTGGTGCGCGCCGACGTTATCTCCGTGTTCGAGGTCAAACTCTCTTGTTGGCTCCCGGAGAAACGTGATCCAGCTGATGAACCACCTTTAGAGGCGTGCTCGGAACTTCCAGCCGAGGATTGTGAGCTGTGTCGCCGAGAGAGATGGGGTCTTCGTTTCGTCGTAGAGGTCGAGACTACGAACTTCTTCGTGGGACCTGGTCTCTTTTTTATTGACTTGTCTGATAAACTCGGCATCGTGGTAGTGGAGGACGATGATCGCAGCGGCCCTTCTCTGACGCTCGCCTCGGTGGTTCCCGATGAATGTCGATTCACGCTCGGCTTAGGCTCCCTGACATCTTCCTCGTGATTATGCTCGCCCTCGACCTGGCCCTCGACCTCGTCCTCATCTTCGTCGTCGTCGTCGTCCTCCTCTTCCTCTGGTTCTTGTTCTGCCCCTTCTTTCTTTTCTTCCTTTCGGCTCGGCATCGTCTCGGTTTCTTCCCCTTCTGACTCGGGTGGTGACACGAAGCGAGCGGTTGGACGAGGACCCGACTTCGAGTTTCCCCTAGGCTTCTTGAGGATCGGGTGAGGGGGAGGTGGCCGGGACGAAGAAGCAGAGAGCTCCCTTAGCGTGGGCTGCTCTGACGGCTTGCTGGGAGGCTCGGGGACATGTGGCAGCAATCTGTCCAGACCATCGTCAAGCAGATATTGCCTGGCGCTGTGAGGGTCCTGTTTCTAGTGTTAGTCGGGGCGATGGAGACACTATGAAAGAGAGAGAGAGTAGAGAGAGTTAACGTACGACAGGGGGCTCATAACGATTCGGGGAGCCCTTGAGGGGTACAAAAGACGGGCCGTACGAGATGCGCTGCCAGATGGCTGCAATGACTTCGGCTTTGAGGTGGCGCCTGTCGCTGCCCCAGACGTGCCACCAGAAATTCTCCAACCGCCGGGCGGTCGGATCGTACAGTTGCCTGTTCGTTATTGTATATACTGTTTTATGTTGGCGAAGAAGTCAGCGGCTAGTTGCGGGTCTAAAAACAGGCGAGGACAGTTAAGAAGCGAGTCTGGGGAACCCACCTCGCCAAAAAGTCTTGATGACTTCGGGGGGGAGCTGAGAGAGGTTGGCCACCTGGCGATAGATGCGCTTGTCGTCCTCGACGATACCTTTCGGCAAATCCATCGCGGCTGGGAAGTTGAGTTGAAGGTAAGTTGGACAGTAGACAGGGGTGACAGAGGCCAAATTCAAAGCTCCTCTCCTCTACCAAAAGTACTCTGGTGGGGACACTGCCAGAATATGGTTTAAGTCGCAACCGATGGAGCAGAGGAGACAGGAACTGGTCGAACGGCCACCGGGGAAGAAGAAAGGGTGAAATGGGTGGTTGGAGAGGGTGCGTGTTGAGGTTTATCGGCGCCAATGTGAGAAGCCCATTGTGGTCCAAGAAGGCGGAGCGAGCTTTTGTGGTCGACGGAAGAGACAGGCGATAAGGACGTCTCGAAATGGGGAAGGAAAGTAGAGATCCGAAATCTAGGAACTATGGTTGAAAGCGGGAGCCGAGAAACCAAACCATGGCAAACTGAGGGTGAGACCGCGAGTCCTAGGAAAAGAAAATGGCATATGTCGAGGATGAGGTTGGGTTAAGATCAGAGAGAAAAGGGGAAGGGACAAAAAGAAACGGCTAAGATAAAAAAGACAAAAGAGCCCTCTCGAAGGTCTGGTAGAAGAGTCGACAGGAGGGTGAGTGAGATGGCGAGTCGGAATACCGAGGTGGTCGGGTTTAGGGTCCAGACTCCAGAGGATATGTCAGTGATAGACCAGTCGGCTCGTGTCCAGAGAACCAGAACCAAACCACCACCAAAACCCAAAACCAGAACCAGCCCTTCCGATTTGAGATCTTTTAAGATGGCTGTCTCAGATCATCCAGATCTGTGGTCGTTGGGTAGAGAAGGCCCCCTTGGTTTGGGCTTGGTCAGTGACCGGTCATAAGGTCAGATGGTAAAGAAGAGGTTTGCTAAGTCAAGGGGGAGGGGGAAAGCGAAAGTGAAAGCGACAGCCAGGAAAAGAAAACACGGGGGCGGATGCCCGTGAAGTATCTACAACGTAATTACACCGTACCTGCGACTCCCCATGCCTCGGGGCCCTTACCCCTAATGACCGGAAATTAGTACTTACCTGGACGTACGACGTCCCCCCAAGCTACTTCGTGCCTTTGGTTTCCGTACTTTGGAGGGTGGTTGGTTGGGAAAGGTACTTGTTAGTGGCAATGTGGCAATATACATTGAATGAATAGGTACTCCCGTCCGTAATTTTCGAGGAATGAGTCAACTCGACTGGCCTAGCCTTTTAACCTTTTGGTTTCGTCTTCTCCACGACTGGGAAAGGGAAAATACAGGAAAATAAACAAGAGTAGACGGTGATACACTGTGTTTTTTTGCGTGTGGCAAAACTGGAGGCGGATAAGAATAGGTGTACGTGTACGACGACGGGAGCGGAAAAGATAGCATGTGGGTGCGTAGGGTAGTCGAGATCTGCCCATCATCGTGATGTCAGGTCAGGTACCAACAGGGTAGCTTCAACAGCCTTGGTACCTGCCTGGTACGTACTTTTTTACTCGCAAATTACCGTCAAACGATTCCCTATACACGTAGTGCGCACGCATCCAGGCCACGAAACGCCCAGGCACAGCCGCACAGGTACCCCCGCCAAGACTAAGCCGGTACCTACCCACCTAGGTAATATCCCAAGGTACAGAGAAGGAAGGTACTTCGTAATCAGAGTACCACAACGAACAGACAATACCGTACAGAGACACAACCTGGTAGAAACTACCGACATTTCTTTCTTTTAGGCCGACACATGGCAATAAATACATAGAAGGGCACGAGGTAAACATACTTATAATTGAGCCCGGTTATTCGGGGGAAAACGGTGAAGTGGGAGAACTTCCTAGCAAAGACATGCGTGTCCCGTCTTTCAGACATTTCCTCGCTTCTTCCGTTTCGCCATATATGTAGAAAAGTGATTGATTCCTCGGTTGACAGCTGCTTTCGTCCTGTCTGCATCCCCCCCTTCTCTTAACCGTTCTCTGCGTGGACTCGTGGACTCTCTTAACCCGCACATCGACAACGAATCATTATAACTTCCCAAGTAATGATTATTATTACTGAGTACATACGGATATTTCTCTTTTCTTCATGATTACCCTTCTAAGGCCAGTTCACCGCCGCGAAGGGCAGCAAAAAAGGGGGTGGGGCTCGATCTTCTTCCTCTTGCTGCTAGGGCTAGCTCTGTAGTGTACACGTGTAGAAGAGATGGTCAGGCCCCCCACGAAAACTCCCAGCGCGGTGCGAAGCCAGTGTTCTAGAACAAATCTGGTAGTGTCTTGCGACGGGGCTTTCCGATATTCAACTACGAAGTATAGAGTACCATTCCCTGACACTTTATCCTTATCCTAATCTCATTATTACGGATATAATTATTTTAATATCCTGACTCTGTTCTTTGCTCCCTCTTTTTCCTTCGGTTTTCTTCTTTCTTTTTCCACCTACGCTAAACCGGGTCTATTCCTCGGCCAGCGAATCCCCGTTTCGCGGACACATCTATCGCACACAAGCGCTGTCCCCTGCTAGCAGCTGATCCCCTTAACGGGGAGACTAAGCACTGGCCCACTAGTCGTGTGACCACGAGATTGAGGTCACGGGCATCCGCCGACATTCTTGAACTCGACTCATTCCCTCTGTTTTCAATTTTTTTTTTTTTTTTTCGTTTTTCTTTTTGGTATCCCGTGCTGTATTTCATCGACGCATGCATAGTCAACTAACAAAAGTTTCGACCATACAAAAGCGGATGATTCTTATAGCAGCAGGCCACCCACTTTCGATCCGCTTCACCATTGCCCCCCCGGCCCCCGGATTCAATAGGGCCATAACCCCCCCGAAATGCAGATACCGTTACATATATTTCCTGGCTCCCGGGTACACGGCTCTTCCGGGAGGTCGTCGGCGGGTTCGAAACAGTCAAACCACCATTGGTCGCAAGGTTGCTCCTCGTTTGGATTGCATCTCTCTATATTCTCCAGGGGTATGCAGATGCCAGTCAAGCTGGGGTCGGGAGGATACGAATCCGTACGGGTGTCGATAATACACGTCGTTTCTTCGGGGCACCCGTCGGTGGAGTCCGGCCGGCACCTCAGGTAGCGGATAGGATCCACCGGGGGCCCGGGCGGAGGAGGAGGATCCCCTGGGCGGATCCGCAATGGCGTGACCCGCATGCAGTGCAATTCGCAGTGTGGCAGGTACTCGACGCAGGCCGACCATGTCGGGACGCAAAGTTCATTAGCCGGGCACGACGCCTCGATTTGGGGGCCACAGGGTCCCCGCGTCGGCATCGGATCCCAGTCACCAGTTGCCGTTGGCTGCGAAAGGGCCACGGCCGAGATGGTCGCGATGGTGGCGGCGATAGCGAGCTTCATGGCCAATGTAACAGGATGCTCTTTTCCTCTTGATAGAGGAGGCAGGACTCGGCGGTGATCTGAGGGCTTGTCTGGATCGGAATGCCAGCAAATTCAGGTCTGCGATCAAAGATTGATACAGAAGATATGAATTCAACGCTTTGCGTAGTGGTAGATAGGGCTGGTATTTATACCCGTGCGGGAGCCATCAGTAATCACTTCCCGGACAACGGTATGCAAGGCTTCGAACATCAACGTTGTATTCCAATATAAACGTCCGAAGTGTCCCCCCTTCAGGTCCTTCGGTATTGAACCTTCCGTGTAATACTACCCTAGATAGGACGGACATTTTGTCTCCTCTATCAGCAGGACGCAGTTTATAAGTCAACCTCCAATTAAAGGGGCGGGTAAGACGCCACGCAGAGCTCTTTAAGAGACTTCATCCTCCCAGAACAGAAGGGGTGGAACTGGCATAAACAGCCGGGCAAACAAGCTCCGGCTATTTGTCATTCGGGGCGGGGTTTAAGCATTGGCAGAGGCGCGGCGCAGCTGCGTCAATATGGATGGATGCGCAATCCCCCATTTACAACTGCCCAGAGTGCTTCTGATGTGTCGAGAATCGGGGTTTCCATTCTTCGCACAAGGCCCTATGGATATTCGTAGTGAACGGGGTGCGAGCTCGAACCAGTGGTTCGCGAGCCGTTCTAAGAATAGAGTCTTGTGAGCCGGGCATGTTCAGTGGCCTAACAAAAGAACAGAAGCACTATGCATGCAAATTATTGTGTAGAGTGCTTCAGTGTTTTTTCGTCTCTGACTGTATTAGAGATGCTGCCTTTAGACAGCGAGCCTGAGAGACGTACAGGTCAGAGCATAGCCTGTTGAACAGACTGTAGTTTTTAAGCGCGACCATTCCGGAAGCGGATAACCGGCCTATGACAATACAATACTCATCATTTATTCCTTCGTAACTAAGGTACCTTAGGTAATTAAACCCTGCCCCAGATCGACGGGACATTCAACAGAGCTTTGTCTCACCTGTGGTCTCGTCTCATATATTGGACCCGGCGATTTTCCTACACAGGCTTACTCGGTACGAAGCATAACATGGAATCTGTACTAAGAAAAACTGAAGCTTTTGTCCTCGTGACCCTTTTAAGCTCTGTCAACAGTCGACTCGGGCCGAAAGATTTGACCATCGGCCCACGTCTTTAATCAGACGAAAGGCGTCATCCGCATTCCTTGACCGAACTGCAGTCAGCTCGAGAGAGGAATGTATTCTTAACAATAATTACTCTGTACCGACATAAGAAAAAAGAGAACGTACGGTGTGCTCAGCAGTCCATACCAAGCAACCCGTTCAGGAAATCGCTACTTTTCCCAACCTCACCGAGAGGAACACAAACTAATAAACTAGGTGATAATACGCCATACAGACACTAGTAATAAACACGACTTTCATTTTGTTCGCAAAGCCACCATTTTCCCCGTGTCGCGTCAGTCGGGCACGTGCACTTACCAGCACTTTTACTCTTCCGAGCAATCTCGCATTGAACGGTGATAAGACGCGACCGTCATCGCGCCAGCTGGTCATATGAAGGAAGTACTTATGCCGAACTTCACTGGTTGCAGCCACAGCCAGATGAACGAAACTGATCACCTCGTTTTAGAAGATTAAAAAATCTTTTGTCAGAAAAGAAGTAGCAGCTAATAATCATTTTGAGCATGTTTCCTTCCTTTCGATCTATGCAGCAGCAATGATGGATGGATGGGGTTTGTTTATGAATAAGTAATACTTAAAAAAAGAAACCCTGCGTGAACTGGGAATCGAACCCAGGGCTCCCCGATGGCAACGGAGAATTTTACCACTAAACCATTCACGCTAATGAGGGTTGGTATGCTTGCGATAGCCCACTACTTGACATCCAGCGCAAGTGAGATTCCAGTTCTAGGATTTTGACCTGTTATCTCATTCTGGGTTGAGCCTTGTGTATTTTATGATAGCAACCCATGCGAGCAGAGGCGTTCAAAGCGTAGCTTCGCCGCCTCTCAGCTTTGTTTTACCCGTAAGCATCGGCCCGGGCCGGGCATGGGATGAAAATTGAAAGCTGAATGGAAGCCGGGGTTCTGTCCCCAGAATGCAGGCTGGAGACTTGAAAGAAACCCAGGGGGAAAAAAGGATTCAAGAAAAAGCTGGACGTTGCTATTCGGGATCGGCCAAGAGCCAACGGCAGGCATGACCTGCTCTGTGCCGCGCCCGACTTTTTGATTATTACTAGTCATTAATCTACCCGTATGGTATGCCAACGTGGGCCGTGCATAAAAACTCCGCCTGTCAAAGAATAGAAAACCCGTTAAAACAGAAAGAGACTCGTAGTTTTGTCTTTTGGCTCCCCATGCAGAGAGTACAACAGAAAATGCGGGATGATTTCCCAAACTGCCCCCATCTGGCGATCTGGCGATCTGCTGTGGCCCTGTTTTAGGTAACGGTGTAACCACCGTCGACACGCAGATCCGCGCCAGTGACATACTGAGAAGCGTCCGAAAGCAGGAACGTGACCGGTCCCATGAGGTCCTTCGGCTGTCCCATCTTGCCCTGGGGAATGAGAGAGGTCCACTTCTGCTTGAGGTCTGGGTTATCATCGAGGATCTTCTGGGTCAGGGCCGTGAGCATGTAACCCGGGGAGATGCAGTTCACGCGGATGCCGCAGTGGGCCCACTCGACGGCGAGGGAGGCGGCGAGATGACGGACGCCGGCCTTTGCTGCGTTGTAAGGTCTGCAGAGTAGGGAGGTTAGCCTTTGTCGGTCATATTCTCCAAGAGAGGCCAAGTGGCACTAGTTGACGACGTATATAGAGAGAGAGAGAGAGAGAGAGTTTGTGTGTGTGTGTGTGTGTGTGTGTGTGTGTGTGAGGGAAGGGGGGTAGGGGGAGAATGACGTACGCCTGAGGCTGGGGAATGTTGACGATGGCGCCCGACATGGAGCCGATGAAGACCATGTTGCCTTGGGCCTTGCGGTCTATGAGGTGCTTGGCGACGCCGATGGCGAAGAGATAGGTCCCGTCGACGTTAACGGACCAGAGCTTGCGCATGCGTTCGATGGGATAGTGGATGGCGTCGAAGTTCTCGGTAAACCCGGCCGAGGTGACGAGGTTGTCGATACGGCCATGCTTGGCGATGACATTGGCGATACAGGCGTCGACGGATTCCGGGTCCGAGACGTCGGCGTGGTGGGCCGTTACGCGGGGGAGCTTGTCGGCTTCGGGATTCTCCTTGCGGAAGGCTTCAATGATGTTTTTCGCCTGGCTCTCCGCCTCTTCCACTGTTTTGTGTTAGATGGTTAATCGAGTTTGCCATGGGTGGACAGGAGGAAGCGGAAGAGGGGGAGAGGGGGACAGAAAAAGGTAAAACGTACAGTTCAGGTCGACAATGGCCAGGTCCCCCCCCGAATAAGCCACACCCTGTCCCATGACGAGACCCAGACCACGGGCGCCGCCGGTCACAACGGTGACAGTATCTTCCAGGGAGAAAGAAGCGAGGGTAGGCTTGGCGAAGCCGCCGCCATGGCCCCGAACCGGCTTGCTGCTCGGAAGCTCGTGGTCTTCGGGGTACTCGACCGTGACGTCGGGATCGGTTCGGGAGTAAGAACCGGGTTTGTCGAGGCGAGGAACACCGCTACGGAGGCCTCGGACCTGGTGCTGCGGAGAGCGGTGGGCGTGATGTGTTTGAGCGGCGGACAAGATGGGGATGACGGCGGAGGGAGTGAGAGTGCGAGTGGAAACGGCAGCTTTGGATCGTGATGCGCCGGCAGCGATGCGGGTGCTGAGGGGACGGAACATTGTGTGATTGAGTGGGGTGGTGAGCCACGTCACCGACCAGCTGAGGGTGTTGCGGTCGGCCTGCGAGAAGACGAAAAGTCGGGTACTTCTCTGTATCCCTCGCTCTATCAATGCGCACGCAAAGTCAAGCCGAGAACTCCGAGGGACCCCGCCGTCCTGGCGTGGGAAGAGATGTCCGGACGTAAGAGGCGTGGTACGAAGTAGGAGGCGAGTCGCAAGTTTTCTAGAGTCTTTTGGGGTCGGATTGGTGTTGGTAGAGGAGTGGAGGGGTAGATGGACGAGGAAGAAGAAAAGGCGAGGTGTTGGGGGACACGCGTAATGTATGCACCTTGACTGGTTTAGTAAGGGATTGGGTCTTATGTCTTATTCAGGGAAGAGAGCTGCGGGGAGATTTATGGAGAGAGTAAAATGAATTGGAACTAATAGTTACGGACACTTCACGATGTTTTCAGGAGAGACGGAAGGGGGGGCGGCTTTATTGTCGAGGAGGGAGGGGGTGAAAAAACGCCCAGAGTTACGACCCATCGTACTCTCCTTTTCCCCCATCCATCCTGGCGAACTCGAGCTGACGAGTGCTCCCCTCAGACTACTCAGACTACAACGTATTTGCCAAGTAGGTGTGTAATCGAAATCACTTTGCATGCGTCCAGGCCATGGGCTATTCACAAGGGAGAGACGAGAGGGTGGGTGGAAGCAAGAAGACAATCGGCCAGGTCGGGCAAGACATGACCATACATACCTCGTAAGGTTCCAGGTACGGGTGCCGTAGCTACAGTAAGGTAAGGTAGTGTAGGAATTAGCTGTTCTCCGCGCAATGCCAATTGGGGAGCTTTGACCCCTGCAGGGTGCCAGACAACCCTGGAGCTGGAGCGCTGTGGGGGTCAAGCTCCTGCTCCGTTTACGGCACACTCACACTGTAGTGTAGGTACACTACTGCAGCCGCGCGCTCGGGAATCGGTAAAGGTGGTGCGGGGTGACCCACTGGAATTGGGGTTTGCACTCTATATTTTACACTGTACCACTATACCGGAGTCGGCGACAAGGAGTGACTGGAAGGGGCCACACTTTGTCCCCCCTTTCTCGTCTTCTTTCAGCAATTGTCTGTCGATCTTTTGGTCTTTTCGTCACCACTCCCCTTACACCCCCCCAGCTGGTCGGGTTGGTGTTTTGGTTCTGTCACCATCCTAATAACAATCCCAACAGCAGGAGGGTTCTAGATGCTGCGGGATGGACCCTCCGTTGCCCCCCGTGGTCCGAAATCCGCGGTCGAGACGCTTGCACTCACTAATGCAGAGCGCCGAGTCGAGGACTCCGGAGTCGACGGAAAACTCGACTCGGCGATCCATTTCTTTCTTATCACCACCTTTTGGGAGACGGGACCACCCTCGCGAGACCGGGATGCGACATTCTCAGATGACCTTCTGATTTTTTTCTCCCCGTTCACTATACGAAGTACTCTCTCACCGACTTGTCCTTTTCCCTCGTGGTCCATCTTTACTTCGTGCAAAGTGGTTGGTAACCCCATGCGACTCACTTCACTCATCCCCGGAGCAATACATAATAATTTCTAATTACCCGACTTATTAATCCGTCTTCCTAAAATAAAAAATAAAATCAAACAGAGAAGAGGCCGATGACGATGATTTCCGGCGGGTTAGTTCTTTCTCCGTTTTCACCTTCCGTCTTTCACCCAGCAGCATCAGCGTCAATCAACCACCTACATATACATCAGAACAACGTCAAATTAATTACCTACTTCTTCGTTCCCGTGTCGCGCCACCAAACGCCTGCATGGACTGCGTGGGATGTCCGTATCATGGAGCGAGACCGATATTTAACATGACATGTTCCAGCGTGGGTGGTAATAAAAGAGACGATGGCTGGCGGATCGTCGATCGTGAACGAACAGAGCGGTGTGATGGAAAAGAAATGGGAGTGGAACGCCCGACTTGGACAGGGGGACGACGAAGTCTACTCCGTCTACTCCATGATTGTTACTTCGTACACACCAGACAGGACATCGTGAATCCCGGCTCCTGTCCTGGGGGTACGGAGTATGTATGTACATACGTCGCCTCGGTCAAGTTGGTCATCTGACGGTCTCGTGGCCCCCTGCATCCCAGCGCCTCTACCCCCGTCACCACCATTTCTCCCATTGTGAGTGTCCTCGTCTAATTATCCAGCTCGTACATGCATCGTGGACATCGGATATGGCTTGTTTTCTGGTCTCTTTTTTCCTTCTTTTTTTTTTCTTCCAATTTTCCTGACCATCTGCGTAATTTTCTTCTGTTATTCGCTCCACTCCAGTCTCTTGGCCTCAATTTTGTCACTGTCCTTGTCCCTGTCACTCTCGTCCAAAGGACTCGGAAGGGGTTTCTCTTCTCTCTCTAATTTTCCATTGCCTCCCAGGTCTTATTACATGACACTTCACTCTCCTCCATCCCTTGGTACGGTGTTGCATGTCGACGAGTAATCAGTGTGTGTGTGTTTGTCCGTTTATTCGTCCTTTTGTGTGTATTACTCAGTAAACACACAGGGTCGGTTGTGTGGCTCAATGTGGCTCAGTTTTATTTGTCATCAAACACATCCCGTGCACAGCCACAGAGTCCGATCATCCATTCCAAGAAGCCGCGAGAAATCCTCTGCTGCCTTATTACTCTGTAGGTTCACCAACACCAACACCAACACCAACACCAACCCAGCATGTTCTCCTCTTGCCTTTATATTGTTATTCTTTTCCTTCGATCCAACACTATCTCGACATATGGGCATACTCCTTGTTGAAGGCCCTTCCAATCACCATGCGGCGGATTTCCGATGTGCCCGCTCCGATCTCGTACAATTTCGCACTAGTAGCACGGACAGGCTGGTTAGCAGCGTAAAATAAATAACTGGCGCACAACTTGACAGTGGAGGGCACTCACTCTCTCAACAATCTCGACGCCGGCATCTCCTCCACGTAGCCCATGCCGCCCAGAAGCTGGATACAGTCGAGCGCGCACTCGGTGGCCCTCTCGGCCGCATACAGGATGGCGCCGGCGCAGTCCTGCGTGCGGATCACCCCCTCCTCGTCCACCTCCCGGGCCGTCGCGTACGTGTAAGACCGCGACGCCTGCAGCTTGGTGTACATGTCGGCCAGCCGGCCCTGGACGAGCTGGTTGTGCGCGATGGGCGCCCCGAACTGCTTCCGCTGGTGCGTGAACGGCAGCGCCACGTCCAGCGCCGCCTGCATGAGGCCCAGGGGCCCCGCGCTGAGCACCAGCCGCTCCAGGTCGAGCCCTTCCATGAGCACGCGCACGCCGCCGTTGACGCGGCCCAGCACGTTGGCCTCGGGCACGAACACGCCGTCGAAGCTGAGCTCGCCCGTGTTGCTCCCCCGCATGCCCATCTTGTCCAGCTTGCGCTGGCAGCTGAACCCGTCCGTCTTGGTCTCGACCAGGAACGCCGTCATGCCCTTGGACCCCTTGTCCGGCTCCGTCTTGGCGTAGACCACGATCACGTCCGCGTCCGGCCCGTTGGTGATCCACATCTTGGACCCGTTGATCACGTAGCCGCCGTCCACTTTCGTCGCCGTCGTCCGCATGCTGACCACGTCGCTCCCCGCCCCGGACTCCGACATGGCCAGCGCGCCGACGCTGGTCCCCGCGATCAGCCCGGGGAGGTACTTCTTCTTCTGCTCGGCCGTCCCGTTGAGCTGGATCTGGTTGACGCAGAGCTGCGAGTGCGCCGCGTAGCTGAGCCCGATCGACCCGGACGCCCGCGACAGCTCCTCCAGCACCACGCAGTGTGCCTGGTAGCCCATCCCCAACCCTCCCACCTCCTCGTCCGCCGTGATGCCTAGGAACCCGGCCTCGCCCAGCTTGGCCCACATGTCGTTGGGGAACGAGTTGCTCTTGTCCGTGTGCGCCGCTACCTCCTCCGTTATTTCTCGCCGCGTGAATTCTTGTACTCGCTCTCTCAATTCGCTCAGGTCGGCCTCTGATGGCGGCTCAAAGCCTTGTGGGTGTTTCTGGGAATGGTGCCGGACGTGAGGGGTGATGACGGCTTGTCTGGGAAGCCGGAGGGCCGCAGGCCGCGCCAGGGACCTGAATAACCTAACGCTTGACATGCTGTTTGAGGGCTAGACCTTTTTTTTCTTCTTCTTTTCTTTTGCGATCAGAATGAATGGAGGGTGTTGGGCGAAATGAATCGAAAAGTAATGAGAATATGATGTTGTGTCAATTGTTCAATTGGAAGAATTTCCCCCTTCCCTCAATCAAGGTCAAGTCAAGTTTGTAAATCGGCAGAGGGAGGGGAGGACAGACAGATACATTGGGCGGTTGTTGACGGTTAACGACGGGCCGAGGCCGAGCCTACCCCAACGTTGCACGGGCCAACCTTCTGCGTCATCCCCTTGAACCGCTTAACCCGAGACGAAGCGCGTACCGTACACTGCAGTAGTCGAGTTGATGCTGCCGAGCTCTTCGACTTTTCTTTTCTCGCCGCCCTTGAAATCTCACGATCATTAAACCAAACAGACTCTTTCAAGTCGCGTTGTCCATTGAACAGACAATTTTCTTCGTTTCCCTGGTTCAATATGTCTGTTTCGAGGTCCTCGAGAGACCTCCTCTCCCTCTCTCGCCAATTGACACGATCCCCATCACGATCCGTCCCGCGCTTGCCTGGACGTCATCACCTTCATCACCCCTCAAGAAGCCATGCACGAGGCGTCGCGACCTTCACTCCGCCCCACCAGGCTAGCGCAATCTCCGTCCTCCAGAGCAATGTAGACCCGACGTCGGACGAGTTCAGGGAGAACGAGAAGAACATGGGCGACGTCGTCGCACGCCTCCAGAACCTGACCAGACGGGTTCAGCTGGGCGGACCTTCAAAGGCTAGGGAGAAGCACCTGGCGCGTAAGAAGATGCTCCCCCGCGATCGCGTCAATGCCCTCATCGACCCGGGGACTACCTTCATGGAGCTGTCGCCCTTGGCCGGCTACGAGTTGTACCCAGAGGCGGATGTGCCGGCCGGCGGGATTATTACCGGCGTCGGTGTCGTGGAAGGCGTCACCTGCGTTATCGTGGCCAACGATAGCACCGTCAAAGGCGGCACGTATTATCCCATCACCGTGAAGAAGCATCTGAGAGCCCAGGCCGTCGCTCAAGAGAACAACTTGCCGTACGAGTCCCCAAGTCTCAATTTGATTTATGAATTATATACCCATGTACCACTGCTAACGAGGACATGTTTCCCTGGCCTAGGTGCATCTACATGGTCGATAGTGGCGGCGCCAACCTCCCCCATCAGGCCGACGTTTTCCCCGACCGTGATCATTTCGGCCGCATCTTCTACAACCAAGCCCGCATGAGCGCCAAGGGCATCCCCCAAATCTCTGTCGTCATGGGTCCCTGTACGGCTGGAGGCGCCTACGTGCCGGCCATGAGCGACGAGAGCATCATCGTAGAGAACCAGGGCCACATCTTCCTCGCCGGCCCGCCCCTCGTCAAGGCCGCCACGGGCGAAGTCATCTCGGCCGAAGAGCTGGGCGGAGGCAAACTCCACTCCTCCGTGTCCGGCGTCACAGACTACCTCGCCGTCGACGACGCCCACGCCATCACCCTCGCCCGCCGGAGCATCAGCAACCTCAACTGGCCGGCGCGGTCGGCCGCCCCCACGGTGGTGCCACCGCGCACCCAATACGCCGAACCGGTCTACCCCGCGTCCGAGCTCCTGGGCGTAGCGAGCACGAACCTCCGCAAGCCGCTCCCGATCCGCGAGGTCATCGCGCGCGTGGTGGACGGCTCGGAGCTGGCCGAGTTCAAGCGCGACTACGGCCCGACCCTCGTCACCGGCTTCGCCCGCATCCACGGCTACCAGGTCGGCATCGTGGCCAACGACGGCATCCTCTTCTCCGAGAGCGCGCAGAAGGGCGCGCACTTTGTCGAGCTGTGCGCCCAGCGCGGCGTGCCGCTCGTCTTCCTCCAGAACATCTCCGGCTTCATGGTCGGGTCTGACGCCGAGAGGGGCGGGATCGCCAAGCACGGCGCCAAGCTGGTCACCGCTGTCGCCTGCGCCGACGTGCCCAAGTTCACGGTCGTGGTGGGTGGGAGTTACGGCGCCGGGAACTACGGCATGTGCGGGCGGTCCTACAGCCCCCGGTTCCTGTGGATGTGGCCTAACGCCCGCATCGGCGTCATGGGCGGCGAACAGCTGGCTGCTGTCATGGAAACTGTGGGACAGAAGGCCGATCCGGAGTTGAGAGAGAGGATAGAACGGGAGAGCGATGCTACCTATTCTTCGGCGAGGTTATGGGTGAGTTTTTCCTTTTTCTTTTTCTTTTTTTTTTTCCTCCTTTTTTTTTCTTTTTTTTCTTTTTTTTTCCTTCTTCTTTGTTCTCTCTCTTTCTTTCTTTCCCTTACTGCTTTCGTCGTCCCTACCTGGAACACGCATGCTGACAGTAACATTAGGACGATGGCATCATCCCCCCCCAGCACACGCGGACGTATCTAGGTTTGGGATTGAGGGCGGCCATGTCGGGGCGAAACGAGATCAAGGCGGGCGACACCAAGTTTGGTGTCTTCCGGATGTAGAAATGAATAGTTCTAATCGAGTCGACAGCGAAATATAGCAGTGTCTGTCTGCCTTGCGAATTCTTCTCCCTGGCCTACAAGCCCACACACTCTCTGATCTCCCATGCGTCGTGAGGCCTATTTTTGGACGTGTGCCACAATGCAAACGGAATATGTTTGACTTTCAAATCGCAACGGACAGAGGAGAAATGCCCCCCCTCCCACGACTGCATGAGGGTTGAATCCGTCCACCGGTCGTACACCCACCCTAGACAGCAAACTTGCATGTCCCAAGTCTAGGCCCGCCTTCCACAAAATGCTGACCACTCGGGGCTCGTGAATTTGGCGGTCTGCTGACGTATTCCAGCTGCAACTCCGGTGAGATGGTGTGGTATCACCGGCCGATACGGAGAAAGCAGCTGCATGATAGAGGTATGGTAGGGCAGACGCGATACAACATAGGGTCGGTAAGGGGGGATTCTGGGGGCAGGCAACCGTCGGTTGAGAAGTTGACTGGAGCCTTGGGAGCACTCGCGCTACTGGTTTACCTTCTCTTTCCTCCGTCGTTATCCCTTTATCCCTCTCGCTCCACGAGGGCTCGGAGGAAAAGGAGCGGAGGATGATTTGGGGGCGGGCTGATCCGATGCTTCACAACGCAACGTGCAACTGGAATGGATGGTCAGCAGCAGGCTGGTCAACGTCAAACTTGTCAGCATGACTCGGGACGGGTGTGGCTTGTTTTTCTTTCTTCTTATCTATCCGTGGATATATCATTATACTCGGAAGGCGGAAGAGGCTTTCTGAGATACTGTCCTGCATGCAAGGTTAAGATTCGTGGCTTCGGCTCATTTCATTTCAGTTCATTCCAGTTTATTTTCTCCCTTGGCGCGGGCAATGCAAAAGCACGGCATTGAACCAAAACGGCAATATTCAAGGATCTAGGTATGGTCTCCTCCAATAAGCTGTTAAACGGATCAAGGATAGAGGAACGTGAAGAATATAGCTGAAACACGACTTGCGCAGGCTGTGTGCTTGAGATAGAGAGGAAGAATTTGTACCGGGACCGGGCTTCGAGAACCGGTAGAAGTCGGATCTTCTTCGACGTTGGCTTCTTCTTCACCAGTTAAAATTGTGAAGCCCGCCACCTAAGTCGGCGAAGAAAACTGGATTTCGGTCAGGAAGTCAGCAGAAAGCTCACATCTCTTCTTCTCTCTCTCTCTCTCTCTCGCTCGCGCTCTTTCGCCTCCTCTGGCAGAAGCGAATTCGAAAAGATCACCACCCAGCATTCACGCCTCTGCGGCCTGAAGCAAAACAATCCAAAAAGGAAGAAAAAAAAAAAAACTCCGAAAAAGCCGGTCATAATGCCAACCGCCGAGGGAACATGGCCGCCGACGGCCCGCATTTCAGTACAGGCCCGTGAGGCCCTCACCCAGAAGCGGAATTTCTACCCGTCACACGGGTTCATGATCAGCGCAGGAACGGTGACCGTGGACATGGAGACGAAGCAGGCGCTCCTCGTCTTCAATAAGCGACAGGGGGTCTACCAGCTCCCCAAAGGCCGCAAGGACATCGGCGAGGACCTTCTGACGTGCGCGGTGAGGGAGACACTGGAGGAGACGGGGGTGCAGGCGACGCCGTTGGCGCTCAAGGTCGCGACTCGGGCCACTGTCGCTAGGGAGGAGGAGACTGTAGAGGACACCGACGGAAGCGCATACGGCAATGGAGATTTGTTGTTGGGTGGAGCCGGAGGGCACGGAGGGGACGGAGGGGACGGGATTGTCGGAGAAGGGCTGACGATGGGGAGATACAATTTCGAAGCAGCGGCGTGCTGTCAGTACATGGACCTGAAGACCATGGCGATGAAGATGGTTTTTTACTATGCTGCCACGGGGGACAGCAGGGCGGAACCGAAGGCTCTTGAAGGACCGGATGAGGGTCTGTTCGAGAACGTGTGGACCGACGTGGAGTGGGCGGCGGAACGGTTGACGTTTAAGGAAGATGGCCAGGTTGTTAAGAAGGTTCTGGCGGATATGAGGCGGTCCGGCTATGATATCTAAGGGAGCAACGGCTTGAGGAGCATGTTCGTGGGAGCATGCGGCGATGAAGGGTTTGACAGCGGGTATGTGAAGGAAAGGGAACCGGATGTTCGAGTTTGGGGGTTTGATTAAAAAATGTACACTAAGGTACTGATCCCTGGCCCCTCGCCCCTCGCTTGTTCCGATTTTTGACCTCTGTAACTCCAGTGTTACAAGTAATTTCTTCCTCCGTACTCTGTACAACGTACTCGAAAATGATTGCCGGGTTTCAGGGCAAAGGCGGGGTAGCTTCAGAATACCCCGCACTAAACCGATTCGAGTAAAAGAGGGGTTCATAACGCAAGTGACATCATCGTAGAATGTGTAGGTAAGAAAACGAAGGCAAGAAATGCTCATGCTCGGTGAAATGCTATTTCTTTTTTTGCGGCAGGAGGTAATGGAAGATAAGGGAGCGTAGTAGAATTACCTGTACCTTATTAGAGCAACTGAGGTGTGGACTGACCCGAGGTACAGAGACGACTTACTCCGTATCCACCTCGTCTGACGCATGTTCTCTTCATCGGCGAAAGCTGCCAGAACCACCTCTCAAGCCTATTTACGGGCCCGAACCAACAATTCCTTTGCTTCTCGCAGCTTAAATTCATACTGCAATACAGCTGTACCCAGCCAGACGACATCTGCGAACGCCACCACTTTCACAATCAACAACACCAACAACACCAACAACACCAACAACACCAACAACAACCGCCCAATTTCACGGCCATTTTCCAACCAAACCACCGCAAAAATGTCGACTATGCCTGCTCAGCACGGCCACAGCGAGGCCTGTTGTAATATTCCCCCCGTCGTCTCCAAAGGTTACGAAGAGAAAGGATCCTACGACGAAGTGGGCAGCTACAAGACTTGTTCGTCTTGACCATCCCCTCCCCCCTCCCTTTCCCCCCCTTGGTGGTTTTTTTTTTCATTTCTTTTTCCAACCCCCTTTCTCGGACGTCGCTGACGGAAAGATGCGTTACGCCATGTGTAGATGTCACCGGCCCCGCAGACGCCACCAAGGGCATCCTCTGCGTCTACGACGTTTTCGGCTACTTCCCCCAGACCATCCAGGGCATGGACATCCTCGCCACGAGCGGCGCCCAAAAGTATCGCGTCCTGGTCCCTGACTGGTTCAAGGGCGAGCCCTGCCCTATCGAGTGGTTTCCTCCCAACACCCCGGAAAAGCAGAGGAACCTCGGGAACTTCTTCCAGAAGTTCCCCCCTCAGATTGTCGCCGATTCTATCCCCTTCTACATCAAGGCCGCTCAGGATAAATATCCCGAGATTAAGGATTGGGGCATCATTGGCGTGCGTCTTCACCTTCCCACTCCCTCGACCCTTGCCGCGACTCTACTTGCTCCATCCCTAAATTTTGTCCACCCCTGCCTACCTGCAGAGAAATTCTTGCCTTACTGACACGATACTGCCCTTCCCAGTTTTGCTGGGGCGGAAAGGTCACTACCCTAGCTACTTCGAACGAGAACAGCGCTTTCAAGGCGGCCGCTGCCTGCCACCCCGCCATGGTCGACCCCGCCGACGCCCAAGGTGTCAAGGCCCCTCTGATCATGCTACCCTCCAAGGATGAGGACGTCGAGGCAGTAAAGAAGTTTGAGGAGGGGCTCAAGGTTCCCCACCGCATCGAAACCTTCCCCGATCAGATCCACGGTTGGATGGCGGCGCGATCTAATCTCGAGGACCCCCGAGTTCGTGAGGAGTATACCCGAGGCTACAAGACTGTGCTCGATTTCTTCAGCAAACACCTGTAAAGAATGCGCAAAAGAAAACCAGACAAGAAAAAAGGAAAAGTAGGCCAGATTGAGATTTGGGGGTAGCATTCGAGTGCATGGTTCTCGAAATCTCTCCCTTCTTGTCGGTACAGATTGTGCCTTCACCTATCTAGGTGGTAGTAGCAGCATATGAAATATATATAATATCGTTCCCTCGCATCTAAACAAGCACGAGGAGGTTGTTCAACATAAAGACACGCCTTGTCAATGCCGTCATCTCGTTATTTCATCATCATGTCCCCATCACAGCCATGTCAATGTGCTTCGCCAAACTCTACTATCTCATCCATGCTTACAGCCTCAAAGTCACCCAACCGAAACCCCAGCCCGTCCTCCTTATGACGGGGCGTCCGCACCGCAGCGCAGACCATGTAGTCGTGGCCCAGCGCTCGCAAACACACATTGGCATCTTCGACCCGTCGACCCTCAAAGTAGATCTCATGCCCCCTCACCACCGTCCCGTCCGCCACCTCCTCGCCGCGCTTGCACAGTCCCTCGTCACCCACGAAATCCTGTTCGGGTTCGGGCGGGCGAAACCCGCGGAACTCGAGGTCGCGCAGCCAGGGGGCCAAGAGGGCCTCGCCCGTCATCTTGATGTACGCCTCGCGCAGACACCAGGCCGCGTAGAAGTAGCGGAGCAGGAACGCGGCGACCTCGCGGGGGGAAGCGCGGGGGGAGGCGGAGACGGTAGGGCCGAGTTTAGACCGGGGGGGGAGGAGGCGGGGGACGTCGCGGCACAGGTAGGCCACTTCTTGCGGGGAGAAGACCTCGGCGTACACGTCGACGAAGGCGGGCCAGGAGGCGACGGGGTCCGGGAGGAGCGAGGCGAGGTCGCGGTCGAAGCGCTCGGAGGTGCAGACCACGTCGACGCCTACTTCCGGACCATCTCCGTTTCCGTTTCCGTTTCCGTGGCCGTGGTCGGAGTCGTTGTTGGAGTGGACGGCGAAGAGGGCGACGAGGCCGGCCTGGTGGCTCACGTTGAAACGGAGAGGTTCGCGGCCTTGCGGGTCTTGCCAGCGTGGCTTCCCCGTCGCGGGGTCGCGGGAGGGCGTGGAGAGGGACCACGGGACGGAGCAGAAGCGGGACACGACGTAGCGTTTGAGGAGGTGCGAGGCAAGGGAGAGCTTGGCGTCTCGGACGTGGAAGTATTTGAGCACGGTGGTGCGTTCGTCTGCATTGAGAAGGGCGAGTGCTCGAGAGGCCTGTGGGGAGAAAGAAAAAAAAGGGGGGACGGATAAGCAAAAGGGAACAGATGACCGAAAGGGGACAGCAGTGGCAGACTGTCAGCTTGTGAGAGGTTTAAGGGCTGGTGATGAGTCGGGAGAAACGCACGGATTGTTCGAGGTGTTTGGTCTCAGTGGCTTTGGGCCATAAAGGGCGTGTGTCCACGATCCATTGGATGATGGTTGGCTTTGAAGCTTCTCCGGCACCTGGCGGAGGGGAGTTGGATGAAGGCATGGAAGACATGATGAAGCAAACAGGTTGGGAGAAGATGAGCGTAACGGAAGTTAAAAATCTAATTATCGTGAGGCCAGATTGGCGATGGGGGTTGAAGGGGACGCAAGGTTCTACTGAGCCATTACGTACTGAGCCCAATTGATGAACGACCTGTGACTATAGATAGGTATGAATCCAGCTAGGTAGGCATTATCCAATTATCCGTCCAAGTAATATGAATTGCTGATTAGACGATCAGAGAGGATGAGTGAGGGGTTCAGGAGCAACCTCATATGAGATTCACCGTGAGGCTCATGAGCGATAAGCAACTGGAGTGGGGTTAATCTAGGTACAGGTGAATCGGGGGGTGGGGGCAGCAATGACCGAAGCGCTCCGCTTCGTGGTTACATAATAAAGTGCTTCGGTGCTGTTACCAACAACTGACTTGCCATCTTGCCCACAATATCTACATACATCTGTATATGAAATACATCTACCTATCTAGATCTTCATATGTCGCCGTCGACCTGTTTAACTGCCCGAGCATTCCTTGTAACCCATGGTTTTCCCGGAGTATCGGTCTTGCATTAATTTCAAGGCTCTTCATTTCTCCTTTCTCCCTTTCTAATAATGTCATTATACAGCACCGTTCTTTTTCGCCGCCTGTTTCGATCCCTATTCCGAGTATAAACAGTAGCGCTTAACGGCGCTGATGCGACGGATACACCACAAGAAGCCAAAGACGACAAAGACGACATCAAAGCCAGACGAGTCCGTATTGTTTTATTCTTTATGAGTACTATTCTAACCAAACAGCCCCACAAAGGCGCGCCGAGAAGGGAGGATATCGGGTTTATCATCCCCCTTCTTATATCTTGCTGGCGCCAATACAGAAAATTTTGAACTTGTACGGGAAATCCTCAACCGTGGATTTCATCTCGCGCATCTCAAGTTGACAGCAGACCAGATCCTTTCGTAATTTCTGTCAACCCCTGGGAGTGTCGGGGTTCCAGGTCCAGCAGTCGAAGGCCTCGCCCGAGGTTCGGGGGGAAAGAAAATTGCTGGGTGAAATGCGACGACGAGACGACGGGGAGGGCGAAACGCTATGGGGCGGGCACCGGTTTGTGCGTCCCGAATGATGTCGGCAGGCGAAAAGAGACACCAAAAAGCATCGGTGTGTCTGTCGATATCTGCCTGTCTGTAGGCGCAGGTCAGCAACACAGTCGCTAGCCGTAGACCAAAGGGGATAACTCACAGACGACATCAGCTAACCATCCTCCTTCTCATCCTCGTCGATTGTGCCCATCGCGACCTTGAACTCCCGCTTGAAATCTTGGGGCAAGACCTCGAGTATATACTCCCCGAAAACATCGTACAGTCGGTGGCGCGTATCGACAATCTCCTCCTCGCCCACGCGCGCCGTGGGTGCAAGGGCCTCCACCTTCTCTTCGACAAAGTCGAGGCCGCCAAAGAGCATGACCGCCGGATGGTCCCACTCCTCGTCCCGCGTCTGCAGGTCCTCCATGTCGTTCAGCTCGGCGCCCTTGTCCTGACAACGCTGACAACCATGGCGCTGGCGCTTAACCTGAGAAGAGGTGCCATAGTAGCCGGTGTCGGGAATGCCGAATGCCGAGTAACTCCGCTTGGCGGGCCGAACCGTCTCGGACGCCGACGCCGACACCGACACCGACACCGACACCGACACCGACGCGGGCTTGGGCTTGGATTCGGACACGAGCTCGGATCCGGATTCGTAACTGGTCGACTCAGAGCGAGGGGCATGGTTCTCACCCATCTCGCCACGCCCATTGCCCCCTTTTTTCTGGCTCTGGGATGGCATATCAACAGGGGTCGCGGGGGGGTTCAAGATGTCCTGGATGCGAAGGGGCGAGATAACGTCCCGTGTGTGTGGTTTCCTAAACCACATCTTTTATCCTCGGGGAAACTATCCGGGATGGATTCAGTGAGCACGATGTCCTTGGAACGACGAGTTTTGCAGTGAGCACAGGGGCTTGGAAATGGTTTTGTTGAGTGACTGACTGACCGATCGACTGACTGACACGTATAGATAGATTGTGGATAGATAACAGGGAGGATGAAGATGGGGAGGAAGAATAGACAGAAAGAAAGAAAGAAAGAAGAGAAATGGGAGGGAAAGGACTCCAGGCGTAGTGTTTATAGACGGCATGTAAAGGGGACATCAGCTGGCATTTCCCCGTGCAAAGTAATTGGGACAACTATCGTGAAAATCAGTCCTGTCGGTACCTACGTAGGTTACGCCATCGGAATCGTATTTGCTTGTTATTGCACCACCCCCAGCATGGTTCGTCAGAGCCCTCAGATAGTTCGAGGGCCGAACTCTACGATAGATACCGCGTGCCATGACCGAGTACAGTCTACAGCCGCGAAGGCCCCCGAGGGAAGATGGGGAATACGATCTGAGCTAAAGGGTCGGCAAGGTAACCGATCTATACTTCATTGGAGTCCTGAAAAGAAGTGGCTTGAATTGCTTGCTCTTTCATAGCTGAAGTAAGATCCTATAGGGTAGGAACGTAAGGTATGCTACTGGGCTGTATATCGCGACCATCGTGACTAGAGGAGCCATCTATCATTCCACCCACACGCCCCAGAGAGGTCCAGACACCCCCCCCCCCCCCCTATTCAGTCTGCTTGCTATTCAACAGGAGCCTCTAGCTCAAGCCTCCCTCTTGGTCCGTCCAGTCCCCCGCGGAGACGGTGCTCGAATCGAAAAGAGGAAACCATTGGTCCCACGCTCGGTCAGTGTCTTTTCGACCCCCCTGGCACCCTTTTGTCCCCCCTCCCCTTCCTCTTCCTCTTCCTCGTTTGACTTTACTTTTCCCTCCGCATCGTTGGCCCTCTGAAGCTCCTTGACCACATTCCCCCGACCATCCAGCTCCACGACTACATCCTCCGTGTCCTGGCTGCCATCTTCCGTGTACTTCCACATGTCGTCTACTTCGCCCCTGGCCCAGGCCGTCAGCCACAGCGAGCCGACGACTCCCGGGACGAGGTAGAACAGTGCGGGTTGACCGTGCTGAAACATGACGACCATGGCCAGGGTGACGAGGAGGCCCACAGTGTAGCCGAAGACAGAAGCGTAAAAGTATGTCTTGGGAAATGACGCCACCTGCACGGCTTCGGGCGCATCGTCACCTGGGCTCGAGCCCATGCCGGGCCACGAGGAGACCCAAAAGCGGTCGGCCCAGTTCCCCGTGGCGTTAATGTAGGGCGCTTTCTTCGCGACATGTCCGCGGTCCTTCGTGACCATGACGTCGCCAGAAGAGGCGTCTCTAGACTCTGTCACCAGTTCGGTCTCTACGTACGTAATTCTTGTTTGATAGTAGCGCCAAAGGTCGAAGCGGAGGGCTAGGCCCATGACGAGCCCTGGGAGAATAATGTCCCCAAGACCCAGGATACTAGACCTCCTGCCAGAGTCGAAGGTGAGTTTAATAGGAGCGTCTAATTTGGTGGCCACAGTGATCATGAACGGGCTAATCAAAGAAAGGAGAACAATTAGTGATAGTTGTTCAGAAAATAATATTCTTTTTATTAATCAACTACAAAAGAATCTTTTTTTTTTTTTTTTTCAAAAACAAAGAAAAAGAAAGGGGACAACAAAAGAAGACTGAGCAAACATACGTATAAAAGACCATGACGATATCGTAGACGAAGAGACCAGCCAGGACAAGACTGCCGATGCAGAAACTCGTGGGAGAAAGGAGGAGAAGCGTGCCGTAACAAAACGCATAGCCCATGATGTTGCCGAGCATCTTCGAAGTAGTGACGTTGTAAGTAGCCACCATAACCACAGCGGCGACGAAGCCCACGATGTGGCTGAACCGGACCTTGAGCTTCTCATCGATAACACCATGAAGTCGGAGCTTCACCGTCCACTGTTCCGTAAGGAGATGACGCAACTGCCAAAGGAACCCTGCCGTCTTGCGGCCCTGCAGCCATCCAAACCGCCAAGGGACCGGAGAATGGAAGGACCCCTCCCGATCCCCTCCGGCCCGGGCCGAGACTTGCCGGGTCGGACCGCCAGGGCGAAGAACAACAACGCGGTTCTCCACGCCGTCGACGTGATATAGGGCACCCCTGACCCGAAAATAGTTGGGGAACACAAAACTGGTGGCCAACTGAATGCCATCGGCAACGAGAGTCGTCATGCTGGCGACCCCCATGAAGGATAAGTAGACCCGAAGGATCTTGTTAAGGAGTTCGGGATCGTTGAGCCACTGGATAAGATAGTACAGGCCCACGAGAGTGGCCCCGGCGAAAACGGGGAGGAGGATCGCGTCCGAGAGCACCAATCCGTGCATCTGCTGTTCCTCCTCCTCTTTCTTCTTATGTTTCCCGGAGCCGGACTTTCCCCCGCGAGCAGGTGCAGCAGAAGCCGGGCGCTTAAGCGAAGCGTGTGCACCGGTGTAGATGATGGCGAGCGAAGTGAGGATGATCCTAGCGTGCATCAACAAGAGGCCAGGATCTCCCCAGATGGGGTTGATGGTAGCTGATGAGGTATGATCACCAGAGATGGTATCGTCGATGTCGATTCGGACCTCGTCAAACAGAGGACTCGCGGGCGTGGGCTCGGGAGAAGCCATGATGAGTGGAAGATGGGAGGTAATGGATATGGTGAAACAGGCAAGGCAAGAGGCCAAACTTGTAAAAATATTCGTAAGATGTTTTGTGCGATGTGTAAATGTGTGTGTGGGGGGCTTTTTGTTTCTCCTTGTGAGGTCATATATAAGGCAGGCGAGGTGGACGGTGGTAGTGAAGTAGGAAAGCACAGCACGGACAAAGGGACGACGACCCGCCGGGATGAGAACCTGCCCTGCCCTACCGGTGAAACAGTAGAAGCAAAAGAAACCTCCTTGTCTCCTTGGAAGCCGAAAGTGGTTTCAGCACAAGTTGCAGTCTTTCGGGGTCATGGAAAGAGTCAGAAGCCGGGTTGGAGTCTGGACTTCAGGGGCAACCAGCTTCGTTGGACGCACGTCACAGACGATAGGGGTCCTTTGTTGCTTGCATGTGCTTTGACTAAGCAATAATAAGATCTGTATGTATTGTAAGATCCATTATCCCCCCAACTTTTCACGGATCGTGAGCTTACAGTTCTGGTAGCTTTCTTTGCACGTGCTTCGACGTTGATGTTTGATGTTGAGTTTTCAGTTCTTCGAAGGACAGCAAGTACGGTATAATCCGTGCTTGTATGAAGAAGATACCTACTTACTTCCTCCAAGAGATAGCGTAACCGGACAAGATGGGTTCCTTATATAATTAGGTTGACTTGACAGATGTTGAGATCGAGTCGCGGGTTGAGGTCAAGTCGCGGTATCCCAACAAGGCGTAAGCCTTTTAGTAAGGTACGAAGGTGCATGGCCAAAGTATTCCCATCCCCCTTTATCAGTTGCAGCCACCTGCATAGACCTTGTTATAGTGGTTTGTACCTCGCACCGCCCTCTATACCTTACCTTAGACATGTAACACACAAGAAGCTCTATGCTGTAACGAAATGCCGTGGTAGCTAAAGACCCAACGTCCATTAGTACTAATTAGTAAAGGTAATAGGGCGATGTCTTCTTACTTTAGGTACGGCTTGACGGTTCGACTCGTAAGTTAAGATAGTGGTATAGTACCTAGAGAAGACTAGGTACCTCCAGCACTAACAATTTTTCCCGGTTTTCCCATGCGCCTTGGTAAAATGTTGCCAAGTGTTCCTTCCACTGCCTCCTGTTCTTGAGAGCCTGGCTGCTGGTTACCTTTTCCAAAGCTAACTGCTGCCCGACGCCTGCTTCATTTTGTTGGTGGGTGGCTTCGGGAAAGTACGGGATGTCGCGATGTTTGTTGTACGAAGAACAGACGTAGACTAATTTCCTGGCCAACATGCTTTTACAGGATTAAGAACCACGGTGGGTGAAGATTAATTTCGGGACATTTCAAAGGTCAAATATTTCGATACTTTTGCAGAAACACTAGATTGTCTACTAGTTGCGATGGTCTGGGTATAGTTCCTCCAAAACGTCCGAAGCAGTTTACTTTTGAATCGTCCCGGAATATTTGTCAACTTTGCTGGGGTGAGGTGGCGCAGAGTGGGCTAAAGAGTTCAGCTGAGATGATCACTTTGCGAATTACCCGTGGCTGCCCCATTGAAGGGTGAGGAACGAACCCCCGATACGTGGCGCGGGTACGGGTAATACTCGAAAACATCAAGGTAAGGAGTGTTTTTCGCCTTGTCTATAACATCCTGTCAGAACACAATTAAGGTACGCGGAACTATATATGTATTCATCTAAGTAAAGTTCGTGGTACTTCACGGGGATGTCTAACTACCTTATTAGGAAACATAATAGGATATAAGTATAGATATATGTAGGATCGAGTACCCTACAAGTCTACCTAATATAATATACCTAGGTATTTTGTCACACCTCGATAAAGTCTATGGGCATCTGACACATCCTTTATCGCGGAAATAGCTACGATAAAGTTATTATGCATAGGAAGAAAATAAGGTAAAAATCTATAATTATATAAGATACTTAGTAGTAAACTAGTGACCCTTAGCACGGCCTCGGTCTTTAGTACCTTGGGTATCAGTTTCAACCCTTGTGCTTTTATAGGGCGTCTCTAAAGCTAGGCACTATGAAAGCTAAAAGCCGCCTTTTGGATCTTAGCCAATGACGTAGGCGCTCAGAAACGGCTGAAGCAACGAAGTAACGGCGGTACTTCCCTCCACCATGTCAATGTCAGCCTTGTCTAAAGATTTCGAGACCCTCCTGTCCCTCCTCGAAGCAACGGTAAATTGAACGAGGGATATTAGTCTTGGAAATCTGTCGCACTACACGCCAAAAAATACAGTAATTACTCTGTAATATCATACTATATCAGCATTAAAATCACAAAAATGACCACAAATGTCGCCCTCGACACCTCAATGGTAAGCAACCCCCTTGTTCTCTCTCGCCCCCAAAAGCGAACCCAGCATCCTGACATAACGGCTCTCGATACTCACAGGGCACGATCCTCCTCGAGCTCTACACCGACCACGCCCCCAAAACCTGCACAAACTTCACCACCCTGGCGCGCAGGGGGTACTACGACAACACCATCGTCCACCGCGTGATCCCCAACTTCATGGCCCAGGCCGGCGACCCCACGGGCACCGGCCGCGGCGGCACCTCCATCTACGGCGACACCTTCGCCGACGAGATCCACCCGGCCCTTCGCCACACCGGCGCCGGCGTCCTCAGCATGGCCAACGCCGGGCCCAACACCAACGGGAGCCAGTTCTTTCTCACCCTCGCCCCGACCCCCTGGCTCGACGGCAAGCACGCCATCTTCGGCCGCGTCAAGAGCGGGCTCGCCGTCCTGCGCCGCATGGGCCTCGTCAAGACCGGCCCGGAAGACAGGCCTGTCGAGGAGGTCCGCATCATCAAGGCTCGCGTCATTGAGCAAGAGGATGAGGGTATCTAGAGGAAGAGGGAACAAGGCTTTTTTCCACAGCGTCAATCACGTCAACTTGGTTACATGAGGAGGAGGAGGAGGAGGAGGAGCATTAGACGGAGTTTTGGCGTCCAGGGTCACGGAGGAGGGGCAAAACAGCGATGCACTTCGGTTGGACAGGGACATGTCATTTCAACTTGATGGTATACAACCTTCTCACATTTACGAATACCCGAATGAAAAGATCAGATCGGCTTCGTCTTGATTTTTGGTACACAAAAGGCCTATCCGAGAACCAGACCTGCCAACGCCAATGCCGCCCTTTCCCCTTCCTTTACCGGTGATGCAGAATGGTATGGTGAATGACCCTTCCGTCCCCGGGGGTAAAGCCATAATTATCGGCCCCAACCCCCTCCAACCCTCCTGGGTCCATGCAAATTTGTTTGATACGGAAGAAAAAAAAGGAAAAAAAAAAAAAAAAGCTTATGATACATTGATGCCGATTTGCACCGCGGGCAGTAGCGATGGTGGCACGCGTATTGAAAAGAGTTCGCTATTGCAAGAAAAAAAAGAAATTACCATGATCAGAGAGAGCATGGTACAACCTCGTCCAAGCCAAAAAGGACGCGAGAATACACGTCAAAATTTCTCAGTGATGTGGCGGGGATGATAAGGTGCCGGAGGACTCGGATTCGCCGTCGCCGTCATGGGTCCCTTTACTCATCGACCGGGGCATGGGCGGTTTCGCGGCATTCGCCTTCAGTTTTTTCGTCGGACTCGCTGCCTTGCCATTGCCGTTAGCACTGCCCTCCTTGTCCAGGAGCTTCTTGGGCGCGACTTCGACGGTCGAGTTGTCCGCATCGTCGTCGTCCATCTTTTGCTCCACGCTCAGCGAGGAGGCTCCCTTGACCTTGTCCTTCTTGGGGACTTTGGTCTTGAGGATCACCTTCTTGGTCAGCGGTGACGGCTTGAGCTTCTTCTTCTTAGGAGCGCCCGCCTCCGACACGTCCTCTTCGTCGGCAATCTCTTCGCTGTCGCGTTTCTTCGGACTCGATGCCCGTGAGCCGGGGACCGGCGTCGCCTTTTGGCTCGACGGAGGGGTCTGGTCATTCTGCGAGTTGCCGTTGCTCCCGCCGTTCGAGATCTTGGCCGCGGCGGCTCGGCTGGCGTTTCTCCCGCTGTTTCCAATGCAAGAGCCCATATGGTTGTTCAACCTGGTGACCAAGATGCAGCGCTTGCACTTGCTGCAGGTGGCGGAAGGGAACGAGAGGACATTGGGTGGGCGCTGATCGGGGCTGGCAGCGTTCGCAAGTTCGAGAGTGGGGTCCGGCTTCATATCCTTCTTCTTTTTGCCCCTCCCCGGGCCCGGCTGCACCCAGGTCTGGCCATAAATGTCGAAGCCTGGCTTCTCGATATAGGGGTGCTTCTTGCAGTAAATGACACCGGGGTCCGGTTTCCTGGAGCCCTTGCCGTCGGTTGGGTAGAGCAACCGGGGGAGGTGGCACCTGGGGCAGAGAATGTCTTTGGTTGTCTTGAGAGGGTTGCCCTTCAGCAGGACTCTGCCGTCCTCGTAAATGGCCGCATCTGTCTCAACACGCACGTCGGGTTTCGCATCGGGTGTAGAGCCCTCCGAGGCGTCGGAAGCCAGCTTCTCGACTCGAATGACGGCGGTGGTTGTCCTCGCCATTTTCTCGTCCCGATGTGTCTTGACCAGCAGATCTTGAATAACATTGTATAGGATATCGTCGAGGACGGCATGAGCCTAACGAGAGTGAAAGAAGGGGGAGGCAAGGTCAGCTTGGGGTGATTGACATCCCATGGGGGAGCAAAGGAGGAAAAGCGAGCACAAGAGGGAAGGACGAGGAGGTATCTGGGCGGGACTCACAAGGTTCTCCATCGGATCAGCATCCTTAGGAGCAACAATGACGCCCGCCTTCCCCGTGTTTGAAGCCATCTTGCAGCACCGGGGCGAACGGCGCACAGGCTGGTTGGGGGAGAGGATGAATGGAAAAAGTGAGAGGTTGTCGTCTTCCGGTAGCGGTACTCAAGCGCCGGAAAGCTGGGGGCCGCTGTGCAAGCTTGTGGAATGTGAACAGTGACGGATGCCTGCCACTAGAAGGTGCGACGGTCGGACGACCCGGGAAAAAAAGAATAGACAGTTTTTGGCTTGGCTGGCCTAGGTCGGTACCTTAGGGTAGATCTTGATAGGAAGCCAAAGATACGGAGCCTTACTCCGTACTGTACCCCCGACAGGGCAATTCAACGGTCGGGGAAGGTTGTCGTGCCAGCTGGGCAATGGCTTGTAGGTCGGTAGGTAAGTTCTTTTGAATTCAGACCGGGAGAGAAGAGGCAAGCTAAGGTAGGTGAAGAACGGCCTAAGGTAAGTGACAGACCAACGGAGGCTCAGGACATTTTGAAAGAAGCAACTGCAACTACTCCGTACTATTGTTCATGTTCCTGGTCAGAGAGGCACGAGATCTGGCAACGTACCCGAATTGATGAAAGGGTAATAAGGTACCGGTAATTGCAAAGTTGTAACTCTGTAGGCTCGAGCGAAGTTCCTCTGCCACCGGTACAATAGGTAAGGTACTATCTGTAATTGGGCACAGTAGGCATTCGTATCCGTACGGATATATACTGCTTCGGATTCCCGATTACATGCTGGAAAGGAGCTGGATATATAAGGTAGGTACAACGTATATATATTAGTAAGCACCCGCCTTTAACATTTTTCTTTGTTTCGGGTTTCTATCCATCGCCGTTGGATACTAGAACAGCGTTAAGGATAATTACTAACCGAAAAATCAAGAAAAGATGCTCCTAATAATAACATATAACTTCTAAAACCAACATCAATATAAACAAAATATGCAGCGAACATATTCCACAATATAATTCAGGATAAACCCGGAGGGGGGGACCAGCCAACATTCTCATGGAAGACAGGGGCAGGAACCCCACACCTTAACGGTTTAGGACCGCCGGAGTGTGGGGCAGTCCTCCCGTACCTGCACCTGCATCAGTCACTGTACGGAGTACACTGTACACTCTACTCCCTTGCAGGTACCTTAGCAAATCAGGTACTCTTACCTTGTAATTGCCTACCTTAGGTGGTAGCCTTGTACGAGATGAAGGGATATTGGAATGGTGAGGGTCGACTCGCAACACCTCACTCCCTTGGACTTTTCTTTCCACACGTGTCATTCACGGAAACCAGTAAACAGACTCTTCCACTTTTGGCATAAGGTCTAATAGATCTAAGAACCATCTATCCACTGATCTGCAGCATGCTTCCTTCTTGACGAGGGCTGCCCTCTCGACCAAAACGCTCTCCATTCTACACCTCCAGTTCTCCCTACATAAACCCGACCTCGGCCTACCACACCCCCCTTGACCACGTCATGTCTGTCCCTCCATCCCCGACGACATCCAAGCCCTTTCAGCTGTCCATCAAGTCGTTCTTTCAGCCACGTCGGCCAGAATATACTCCGCCTCCCTCTCAGCAACATCGCCCTGCGGAAACTACGCCGTCTCGAGTCCCCGAACCTCCACCGCAGTCCGATCCTGGACCCGTTCACGCTCCCACAGCCGCTCCCGTTCCCGTTCCCGTTCCCGATACTGCTACTGCTACTGCTCCAGCTGCTGGCCCGGATCCTTCACCACATCCGCTCCCTTCTATCCCTCCCGAAGCCGCCATCCGGCCCTTGGCACCGGACGATATCCAACCCCTCAAACGCCTCAACGGCCTCCTCTTGCCCGTCACGTACCCCGAGGCCTTCTACACCACCGCCCTGACCTCCACCTTCTCCCGCGTCATCACCTGGGCAGATCCCATCCCCAAAGTCGTTGGCGGCATCATCTGCCGCGTGGAGCCTTTCATCAACAAAGACGGCAGCTACGAACAAGCCCTCTACATCCAATCCCTCGCCCTCCTCTCCCCTTACCGCGCCCACGGTCTTGCCACAGCCGCCCTCGCCGATCTCCTCCGTGCCGCCGCCGCCGCCGCCACGAACCACAGTAGCAGCACCCCGTCCATCCGCCTCGTCTACGCTCACGTCTGGACCGAAAACGACGACGGCCTCCGCTGGTACGCCGCCCGAGGCTTCATCCGCGACCCCCACCCTCAAGAACACTACTACTTCAAGCTCCGCCCAGACACCGCGTACATCGTCCGCCGCGACATCTCTCCTCTATCCTCTTCCCCGTCTCCTCCTCTCCGAATGGGCAATAACGCGAGCACTCCCTCGGCCCCCGCCGGCGCCGCAGGCATCCCCCCGAGTGCTACCGCCAGCGCCGCCAACCTGCCTCCCATTTCCGGACCGCCAACCTCGCGCGCTGCGTCGTCATTATCATCACCGTCATCCTCATCGCTGCCACCAGCACCACCACCGCCGCCATTGTCATCGCAACAAGAACGTCAACAAGTTAGACCGACCCTGTCCACGTCGTCCTCTCTGACGAAAACACATTCGGCTCAGGGGGAGTCATTCCAGAACAAGCGCGCAGAGACGGAATGGAACGACCTGCCCCTGGATATGGTGACGCCGAACGGCCTGCTGGCGCCTCATACGTCGGGTACAAACGGAAATGTCTCTGAGGCGAGCTCCATGAGTAGTAGTACGACGACGCGCAAAAAGAAAGAGAGACGAGCCTATCCTTCTGCGGCATTTGGCAATTGATTCTTTTTTATTTCTTCCCTTTTTATTTCTTCCCGTTTTATTTCTTTTTTTCTCTTTTTCTTGCTGTTTGCTGTTCTTGACTTTCTATGGAAGCATTGCATCCTTCCCAAATAGACGAAGCGTTGGACAATTGGTGCTAAAACACATCAAAGACTCCAAGGCATCGGCAGAGCCACATAGTCATTTCTAATTAGAAAAAACGAATTGAGAGTCACCATCGAAAACGAGTTGGGCTACACTGCTCTTATCGGCAGAGTAATTGCGCACTCGGCAGTATTGGCTGAGGCTTGCGACGGTTTTCGTCCATTCTTCTCAAGCTGGTGCTTTGTGACGGGCAAAGACGCCGTACAAACATTTCTTATACACACGGGGGAACCAACTCCCTACTCCGTTAGACCAAAAAGGACAACAGGGACAGCCCTTGGACGCCCACACTGAATCCATGTCATCTTTCACACCAAGCTCCGACGACGTGCCCACCAAAGTCCAACTGCCGCAATGGCACCAATCACGGTCGCACCGAGGGCAACCTGTTGCGGGTTCGTCAAGGAGTCGAGGACTGGTAGTAAGAGGAGTCAGTATCAGTTCTTCGTCCCAAATTACAAGGGGTTAAACTCGGGAAAGTCTCTTCCTTCTACAACAGAAAAAAAAAAAGGATGTAAAGGGAAAAGGCAAAGGCGTGAGAATGAGGGAAAACAAAAACACTCACAGTTACCAGGAACCGTATCCAGTTCACGCTTGACGGCATCTCCCACGCCGCGCTCCTTCTCCATTTTCGCGGCAACCAAGGCGATAAGCGCAGCACCGACGCCACTACCGTCTTTGGCGATGCCGATGCGGATCCTCTTGGCCCCGTCGGGGCCGATACCGTCCACCGCCGCAAGGGCTTCGTACATCATGTCGCGGAAGAATGGGTAATGTTCGACCAGACTGCCGTCGACACCGATATCGATAACATCGCTGTCGGGGTCGTTGAGTTGACCTGACTGCAGAAGGACGCCGGCGATGGGTACAGCGGCGAGGCGCGCGGCGCGGCGGCCGACAGCGTCGGCGATGGCCTTGAAAGCTTGGGCATCCTCGAGAGAGGGGCTGTAGATATCCAGGTTGTCTTCAAGCTCCTGCCGCAGGACGGAAAGTTCTGGAGTGTTGTCCGAAGCGGCTACCGACAGGACGCTGCTGTCTAGACCCCACAACTGCATCAAGCCCGACTGCGGGCTGATACTAGTCGTAGAGCGCCAGTCGTTGGAGCTCGAGTTGACGTCCTTGAAGAGCGACAGCTGCTCGTTCTGGACCATTTCGAGGATGCTGCGGCGAACGATTTCGCCCAGATACATGCCCGACACCCGTTTCTCGAACACGTGGAAGCCAGGGTTTACACTTTCCCTGTCGAGATCAGTGTCCCAAGTAGTAGATGGCAGAATATTAAGCTGATTATCGAACGAGCCCCACTCGGTGTTGAGAATCATCTTGCCTGTCGAGGCGTCGTATTCTCCTTCGATGGGTTTCTTGATGTTGGACAACTTCTCAACGTAGGCGCCATTGGTCCCCGTGCCGAAAATGGCGCCCACAAGGGTCTCACTATGCCCGCTGGATGTGTACGACCTTGCTAGAAGGGTGCCGACGGTGTCGTTGACGAGGGCTGCAACGCGAACGGGCAGGTGGAGCTTGTCGAGCTCGGTCTGGAGCAGGGCGCAGACGTCTTTGCCAATGGCGTCGGGGATGTCGAAGCCCTTAGTCCACCGCATCAAAGTCCCCTTATTAATGGCGAGCTGCTTGACGGGGTAGCTGAAGGTGAAACCAAGGTGGAAAATATCTTCATCCTTCTGACCCTTCCGGGTGCTCCTGGTCCGGCGGCGAACACCCTCGAACTCGTCCTTGTGGTGTTCATGGAGGAAAGTCTCGATTTGTTTAGCAAGGAAGGCAAATAGATCCTCGGCTTTCTTTGCAGTCATCAGCTCTTTGGGAACCGCAACTTTGTTGTAGGTGAGATTGAACGTGGTGTCTCCATTCAACCGGACCGAACAAACGCGGAAGTTGGTGCCTCCGAGGTCGACGGCGAGGTACACACCCTATCGTAAGGGTCAGCTGAACTGCTCCATGACCAGGAGGACGAGGCAATAAAAGTATGAACATCTTGGAGAGAGGTTTGACTGGGGTCATTTGTCTCACCTTCTCTTTACCATTGGGGACCGCGGTGACGTAAGTGGGGATCTGGCTCAAGCTCGTCCCATCGCTGCGCAACCCTTCCTCTGCAATTGGTGTCGGTCAATTAAAGCTGTCCTGGATAGAGCACGATGCGGGTCTTGCCGGAGCGGGGGAAAAAAGAAAATAAAAGAGAAGACGTTGAGCTGAGACACCTGCGCCGGAGCGGGGGGGGGGGGGGAAGTTACACAGGAGCAAAAGATAATAAAGAATGCTTACCAGCTTGCGAGATGTACTCGCCGACAGCTCTATTCAGCCAGTCGTCGGACAGCTCAAAAAGCGAGACAATTCGCTTGGTTTCAGCGTCAAGTGCCATGGTAAGTCGTACAGAAGTTGGGGCCAGGGTAGCGAAGGGAACGGGGCTTTCACAGACGTCCTGGGGAAGAAGCCGAACAGGAGGGGGGAAGAGACGTCGCAGGGAAAAGGACGCGGGCGGGAATAAAAGGACAGAATGAAGTCGGAGCTTGGCGTCGCCAAGGAGGAATTGGATGAGCTGCGATTGTGGTGAGAGTTGATTCCAGTTAGTGCGCTGACAGCATGGGAGTCGGCGATGAATCGGTGAGAAGAAGGAGAGAGAAAGGAAGAGGAAAGAAGACGACGACGGCGACAGCGACGACGAGGACGAGCAGAAAAAGATGACCACCACGGGAATCAAGCCTGTGTGGACCGAAGAGAGAAGAAGCTTGGGAAGCTAAAAGCGGGCGCGTACTACTGGTATATGATGAGGTCACTGAGGGTTACATACTCCGTAGGTACCTGTGCCGCATCGAGGCCAGGGTTCCTGGCGGGTTTGTCGGAGCGCTTTGCCCACTGCAGGCGGTCACTGGCGCTGGGAGGTACTGTGGTAAAGAACGGAGGACCCTCAAAAGTTCCTCATCCAAACCCCATATCAGGCCACGAATTTGACTCCGCACTTCACTGCTCGGCCCGCCGCTATTGAGCAAAGGAAGATGCGGGGAACTTGGATCGTGTGTTGGGCAACATGATTGGTCGATGCTCCTTAAGACCTCGTTCGCTATAAGGGCTAACACCGGACACAATCTGCATTTGACCGAGTAGTCGGCGTCACAGAGCTCCACCTCGAGCATCTTCTGGTTCCCCAAGACTCGAACAACAAATCGAGCTACGGGAAGGACTCGACTCGTCCTTGGCTCCGATGTGCGAAGCACGAATAGGACGTACTCCGTACTCCGTAGATTATGGCTCGGGGGTTGCAGTTGGGAAAAAGGGATGATTGGAGGATAAGACAAGGTGGGAACAAGGAAGGGAAGAAAAGGAAGGAAAAAAAAAAGGGAAAGAAAGTGCAATATAAATGGAATAAATAACGCGCAAAGGAAATGGTATCATCACTTACCAGAATAGCAATGAAGATACTCAATGAGCACAAGGTGCAATAGAATGGACGATGTATCAATCTCTCGAAACTATGCACACCTGGCCTTCTTCCCTGAGCAGATTTGTTCCCTTCCTCCAGCTTGATAAATGGGAAAGTCTGGACTTCATTGTCGCTGTCGTCTTCAACACTTGGGAGATAATGGCCCGCACGCCAGCCGGCGCCGGCATCTCCCTTGGGGTGGTTGGACGACACGGTGCCGGTTTGTTGGAAGCCTGGGGAGTTGAGGGGTGCAGGTGGTCGGTTGAAGCACAAGTACCCGAAGTACTCTTGAATATTAGGTGACCTGCGTCTTGATGCAACTCTGCGATAAATGCGACAAATCGATCGAGACGGAGAGGTAGCTCTGCCGCCTGGTGGTCGGTAGGGTCGCTGCTGGATTGGACGTGCTGCAGGTGAAGCGATGGCACCCCAAGACCATACCACTACGGAGGTGATCCCTTTCCGTAAAGATGGTTTAGGCTGAAATATTCTTTCTGCAAAAGGCAATGAGCTCGATACAACGTACAGCAGGACTAAGATAAAGAGCCTTGATCAATGTCGAATGCGACTTGGGGCCTAATTAGCTGGGTGAGAAGAATCCTGGGAAATCCAAGTTGTCGGCCGGGAAAAGGAAGGTAGTGAGCGTTGTTTGTTCAACCGCTACCTTAGTGAGGGAGGCACGAGGGATTCTGTGTCATCTGGGTCATGGGCCAGATTGAGGGCTCTTCGTATCGGTTGTGAGGCGTGTATCAGGTATGGTATTGCAGTACGAGGAAATAGGTAAGGTACTCTGTACCCCGTACGTATACCTAAGGTACGTACAAACCTGGCCCTTCTGTTCAGTTTCACGGAGTTGGGTCAGCATCCCAGGGAAGGAGCACCCCAGGATTAAATGATATATGATGTGTGGGAAAATAATAGGGTTGTTCGAAAGGCCTTAACTTTACATCCGTTTCAATATTTCAAGGCACAAAAGAACCATATGCGGTCAAGAAGGAGAAAATATATCCATTTATTCCTCTCATGAGAATGAGAATAGACCCAAGATTTTGCTGGCCTCCTTCCTTCACTGCATTAGCCAGGAGCCGTCGGCGCACACAGCAGGGGAGGTGATTGGCACTCCAAGAGCTTTCCCACTTAGCATCCCCGCCAGTCCAGTACAAGTAATACTTTCACATAGCACACCGACTTCCTCAACGCCCTAATAAATCCCGAAAAGGAACCTTGTGGGCGGTGAACATGGATGACAAAACCAACTGAATGACGAAGGTTATTGTCGCTTCCCTGGTCAGACCGCGGGGAAACGCAAATTTTGTGAATGAAAAGAGCGGTCATGCTTTGTGGGACATCCGTTGGTTCTGACCCTTGGCTCCCCCGCCTGCCAACCCAACGACAGACGACGCGATGAAGCAAGCACACTTTGCGAAACGGAATCGGTTCGTTTCTTCCATCCAAAGCGCCCAAAGAAGCGCCCTTCTACTCCATATATATTATTATGTATTATATTGGTGATGCCTACCGCGAGAAACTCCATCTCAACACTAAGAAGGATGTAATCAACAGAACAGCGCATGTCAGGAAGACATGATTTCGATGCGCGTCCCCTTCCTGGTCTAAGCTATGAACGACCACCACAAATACGTTCAGCGGCAGTCTCAGGATACTGTAAATTCGGCCGCGGACTCCATCTTCCACCACCTCACTCTTGAGGTAGGACATGCTTGGGAAATAAATCCCAATGCAAAGCTCGATCATGCAAAGCGTCCAGAACACCCACTGCTCATCTTGGAATAGAACGACTGCCAGCAAGCAGCCGCTGACGACAAGCACTGCCGCGAAGAGCAGTGCCAGCGTTTGACCTCCGACATGCGGCCGTGCCATCATCGAGAAAAGGTTAGATCCGGCCATCATGGCGCACATAAAGCTTGAGAAAACCAGCCCATATGGGAGCTCGCCATCCGACCCCGCGCGGTTTCTCGCGCTGCTAAGCGTCTGCGACCAGAAGAAGACGAAGAGATACATGGTGCCCTCAAAGAACGTTGAGGTGAAGCTGAGGCCCCAAATCCTCTTGTCTCTCAGCGTTGTGCATGGGCCACTGCGTATTGCCTCTGCTGTGTTCGCCGGACCGCGGTCTGGCTTGTCGTCGCCGTGTCTGTTTCCATAGTTCTCCGGCCAGAAGATGACGATCAATAGAGCAGCGATGGCCGCGCTGCCAGCGGCCGCTACGAACGGCCATCCTCGAGCCCCATTGAAGCCTGCGACGAGGAGGTCCCCGACTATGCCCGACATGATGGCTACCACGGAACTGAGAGTGGCCATGTTGCCGAATAGGGTACTTAGACTCAAGTGTGATCGGGCGAGGTTGCGCTGATGGTATTCGGTGACCACCCAAGTCTCGAAAGCACTGAAGAGGAGCGTAGTGGCTACTCCGCCAAACAGGCGACCCGAGAAGAGGATGGCCGCATTATTAGATAGCATCGAGGCACAGGTAGCGATGTAGGCTACACAATAGACGAGGCAGGCCATTCGGCGACCGAACCTGTCCGTGAGCGCTCCGGCGAAGGAAGCTGAGACGGCACCGGACATGAAGCCAGAGGCGTACAGGGCAGCCACGACATTCTCGGGAAGACCCTTCTCATATTTATACATCGCATAGATATGGGGCCCCTTGCGCCCTCGTCAGTCCTCGCTAGGTGGTGACGGGCAGAATCATGAAGCACAGCATACCTGGAGCCAGTCTGCCGCAACAGCGAAGGTGTATACCGAGTAGTATTCGAGCTGTAGTCGTCTCGCCGCGACCTTCAGCTCCACTGGCGCCGCCAGGAGGCTTTGGATCTCGGCCCGGCCTTCGTCTGCTGCGTTCTCATTGCCATCACACCTCGGGAGCTTCTGTTTGCGTCTCTGGCGATAGATGAGTAGGATGGCATTGGCAATGGCGAACACTGCCAAATTCACGGGATAAAATGACATGGAGTGATCCCCATGTGTGATAAACCAATGTTCAAAATTGCGACGTCGACGGTGAACGTAGTCACAACGCTGCGAGCCAGACAATTCCTATATCCGACACAGACATAAACCACTAGCAAGGTAAGGCATTTATCTCTCAGTACTACCTGTATAACGAATATGCGACTTGGACACACCCCCCGAAATAGCTAGGTGGAGACATCTGTCGAACAGACCACAGTCTTTTCGGTTACGTAACGGGCCGGATTGCCAAGAGTATAATCCGGGTAGACGCTTGCAGAATCTGCACTATATAAAATACGGTGGCAGCGTTTCCCTGACGGTCTGACACAGTTATAATTATATACAATTGCCTTAATTAATTTTGACCTATTTTATGATGATTTTGACTACGCTTTATCCAATAATTAAGAGTCTTACTTACTAAGTGAAGATATACCTATTTTACCTACCTTTTTACCACTACTACCGATTTAAGAAGCTATCTAGCTACGCCGATATAGCGTGTTAATCTATAAATAACTATTAAGATATCGTATCTTAGCCCTATTATGTATAAAACCTATAAGGATTAGGAGCTCTGGCGATGCTTATACGAATCGGTTACTACCTATAATAACGTGTAGAGGTTTCTCCGCCTAATTGATCCGACTTAGTCCCCCGAGGAGCCTTTAATACCGGATTACGGCTCCTTCCTATCTATAACACTTAGACGTACGCCTACGTAATATCTCGACCTTATAGACGCCGGCTAAAAGGCGTACGACGTCGAAATCGCGCGCTGGAAGATCCTATAAGCGTAATACGATAGCTACCTAAAAGGGATTAACGCTATACTAACCTAGTAGGTTAATACTATCGACTAAAGCCGTAGATAACTGCTACGAGGAGGTATACCTCGTGAGGTGTATAAAGCCGTTAAACGCGATACGGATTAGTACCTGGCTACCCGCTAAACCGATACCCACGAAGAGTATATCGAGTATGCTTATTATCCTGCGAATAGCCTTAAGAAGCTCGGGGAGTAGTTAGATAAGTGGTAGCTGCTACTATAAAGCTATAAAGATACCAGTTCGAAGCCCGCTATATATATATAGATTATAGACTTCTTTAGAGGTATACGCCCCTATACCGGCCGCGATTAGACTAAGGCCGAGGGTCGTCTAGTGGATAATTAGGTAATAGTACCCGAAGACCTTTATACCCTTAGTTAGAAGTATATTAATACTAGACTTAAAGACTAAGGAAAACGCGGTAGCCACCGCGCTATAGTATTCCCTGCACTGTATACCGGAAGCGAAGAGGGTAAAGATACCTTAAAGGCCACGGCCAAGCCCCGTAAGAAAGGCGGCCGTGGGAAGAATAAAGCGAAGAATCCCACTACCGCGGTATCTATAGCTATACCTTTAGCTGCTTTAGCTGCTTTAGCTAACCGTTCCTCTTCTAAACGCCGCTAATCTACTCTACAGGGAGGTTAGATCTGCCGCGTATACGCTATACCTAGCCACGATATTAACGTATACTTCTATCTATTCCCGGATACAGTATATAACGATTAGACACCCTTCGAGAGCACTAAAATAACCGTCTAACGGATCCTGAAATACGACCCCTCGCTACGCGCGGAAGTGGAAGAACTACGCGCCGTAAAGAAGGTGAAGAAGGATATAAGCCGGGACTTAGTATAGCTTAAAGAGGCGTGACTCGACTATAGTAGCGTCCGTAGTATCCGTAGCGGTGTCTCCCACGCTGCTAGCTTTATAGTAGGAACCGCTACTACTAGTTACCCTCTTCGAACCTCTGCTATCCTCGATTCCGGCGCCACTATTTATATATTTAACGATTTTTCCCGTTTTTCTAATTTTATACCCGCCACGTAGGGGGGCTACGTGGTAGCCGGCAGTTTATCCCTGCCTATTAAAGGTTACGGTAACGTGACCGTGAGATTAAATAGACTAATAGGAGGCCTTGATTTTAGGCTGTTAAACGTCGTATACTACGAGGATTTTGCCTATAATTTAATCTCTAACCAACGCCTATATCTTCGAGGATACTAGTAGGATTAGAAGCCACTAAATACCTGTATTCGGCGTTCCGATAGATCTATACTATACTAGCTAAGTCACCGCTTCGATTAAACCGTTATTAAATACGTGCCCTCTAACCGATCTATGGCTGCTTTTCTAGGCTCTTCTTCTTTTTCTACTACCCGAAAAGCCGTCTATAAATCGACGATACGATATCTATCAGGTGCCTATAGCAGTAGTCATAATAGGTCCCCAGTGTAAACCCATAGGGGTCCAGGCGTGCCTAGTCTAAGACCCCTTAAGGCATAAACAAAGCAGTTATCACACAGCAAACAGAATAATCCCTTGAAGTAAATAAGGCAGCCCTCGAGGAAGCAAATAAGTAGTCCTCGAGGAGTAGCGGAACGTAGTCTTAAGGAGCGGAGGAGCCTCCCCTTTAGATAGGGAGGCTAGCGATTAATCTAATTCTTTAGCTACTCCTACGTTTTAACCCTATTATAATTCTATCGTGATCACACCTAATTCCTTACTTAACCCTACCTTTTCACTCTTTACGACTACCCATTTAATATTTTAATCGCTCTACCCTCTAAAGGTGCGAAGACCGTTAAGGAGAGTTACTAAGATATCTAACTATCACGAAATAAATAACCCTACCTTCGATTTTAACGAGGCTACTAGTCAGTTTAAGCGATAGCTCCGCGATAGCGAGACCGCCTTTATAGAGGACGCCGAAGAGGGATACGACGGGAACACGCCGGGAACTAACACGGCTCCTACCTCTACTACCGCACCGGCACCTATTCCTGCCCCTATACCTGCTTCTATCGCTAGCACTACCTCTACTACTGCCTCTACCCCTATCGCCGTCCCCGTTCCTCCTATAACCACGACGGGACCCGCGTATAACCCTAACCTGCCCCCGTATATAAACGTTAACCTAGCCATGCTAACGGAGGAATACCTAGATAAACGCGTTAAATAGATAGAGGTATAGAACCACCGTAAGCGTAAGCTCGCGTACCTTACTAAGCTGGAGGCAGACACTACCGCCGCTATTACCGCCGCCGCCGCTATTAATCCTAACCCGGCCGATATTACCCACTATCGTATAGCAGAACCTCGGCGTCGTATTATCGTAACCCTATCGGGATCCTAGCATACTCACGATATATCTATAACATTATCTATACACGGATCCGCTATATAGGCTAAGTTTAATTTCTCCCTACTAAAATAGGATAGGGTATCCTAGGCTAAGGATCGCACGTTTATTTAGGAGATAAATCAACGGTTTGACCTAGACTCTTAGTCTTTCCCCACGGACGCCGCGAAGAACTACTTCGTTATATCGTGTCTCCCCCACTATCTAAAGGAACGCTAGTAGGCCGAGCTACGATATAAGTACGATAGCGACTCTAATAGAGTCAGCTAGGCCGCGCTATAAGCCTGGCTATCCTAGTAAGTTAACGATAACGACACCCGCCTACGAGAGGTAGCGGTATAGATCCAGAGCGAATCTATCTTATCCTAAAGAGAGGGAGAGTCCTACGCTAAATTTATATAACGGTAGGAAGCCCTAGAGTCGGAACTACTAGGCGAACTCCCTAACTAGTAGAGGATTTAGATAATGCTAATAAGGGTCCTCCTACCTATTCGGGACTATATAGTATCTATAGGGGTTCCTAAGGACTACTAGGACCTAGCCCCGGCCTACCGCCGAGCGGAAGCTCTAACCGTTAACGACGGACTATCCGTCGCTCGAATAGACTTCTAGTCCTCCACCTAATAACGTCGTGTCCGTTCGTATACCCCCGGCTATAGACCCTAGATAACCACCCACGGTTCCATCAGTACCCCCGCGTCTACCCCTACATCCGCGCCTATATCTACACCTACACCTACCTTTAATTACCCTATACGCCCTAAATAGTTATCGTACCTCGACTCTATCACTTACTATAACTATAACTAAAGGGGGCATTACGCCACTATATACCCTAGCCCTCGGGCGTAGCGCTCGAGCATAAGTAATAGTAACCCGAATACCTAACCGGTATCTATATCTCGCCCTATAGTCAGCCGTGTCACGGGCAAAGTGCCTTAGGAACTATACCCGCCTCGGACTACCCTTACTACTATACTAGTAGGAGCACGCGTATCCTTTCGCCGAGGTAGGGGATAGGTATAGACGTCTGCCCTCCTCGACGGAGGCGCCGATATCAACGTGCTAGATCAGTCCCTCCTAGGACCTAGTTAGGTCCCTAAGGGGTCCCCGATCCCGGTGTCCTGGATTACGGAAGGATAAACGAAGATAACCCTTAGGTCCCTCTATAGGATTATTACCACCACCGACTATTAGGATCGGAAGAAAATACAGCGCGTCGAGTTTTATATTATAGACCTCGATCCCTAGGGCGTAAAGATTATCTTAGGGAGGCCGTGGCTTATAGCCGTTAACCCTAATATTAATTAGTAGTATAGCACGTAGACCTATCTCTTAACCTACGCAGAGCTTAGTATAGTCATATTACCGAGAGAACTACGTAGGGTAGTTAGATAAGCTAAGTCTATCCTTACTTTAACCTATATAGGTTCTATGCGGGTTCCATGTATCGGCTATATTGGCCTTAACGGCCTAGAAAACCCTTTAGTAGGATATAGAGATAAATTCTCGGAGAATAGGGCCCCCCTTAGCCTAGACGATAATCCCGTTACCCCCACGCTACTAGAATAGTATTAAGATTTCGCTAACGTTTTTAACGTTAAGAACGCCAGCCGCCTACTAACGTACTAGTAACAGAACCACGCTATTAAGATCGAGGAAGGGAAGAAGCCTCCCTATAGTTCTATTTACCCCCTCGCCGTATAAGAGCTTAAGGTGCTATATTAGTATCTATAGGATACCGTCGCGAAAGGCTAGATTAG